GAGAAAAAACTGTCGCAAAATGAACTATCAGAATCTGAAGTGTTCGGAGTTAAAGGACCTGTTAGCCAAAAGGGGACTTCCGTCCCATGGAAAGAAGGTACAACAACCCTTACATAATACAACGTCGTAAAGTTGCGAGCACGCGGTGGTGACACAGATACTTTTTATGACCCTGCGCCTTGACAACAAAAGGAAAAAATCGAGGCTGCAGAATGCGGTTGCCACGTTGTCAATGTTGCGTTAGTGAACCTGTAGGTGCGTATTTAGATACAGGTATATGTCTCTACATGTTTGTACCGTTTCTATTTTTTCTTATCTGTTCCTTCATTTATCTCCTGACCCATCTGCCCGCTCACTTGCCCACGTACTACGGCCCATTCCGACCTCCACAGTTATGCAGAAAAAAATATATTTCGAAAGGCGCGCGCCGGATTACGTTGTCGTTTTTCGGGTCCGTCGCACGTGCGCCTACGTCGCTCATAGCCGCTTTGCCATTGCGGGCGCATGAAGATATATATATGTATATATATACCTATAAATATATACGTGCATAATACCATACCATACATCGATACATGCATGTTAAATACATTTGTATATTATTCCCATGGAATGTCTGCCCCCGCCGCCGTAACCGCTACGCAATGGGAGCGAAATTAAGAAAAAAAAAAAAAAAATTGCCTATGCCGTTTTACCGCTCATTCAATTCACTTACGCTTATTTTTGCCCCCCACCCTTTTTTTATCATCCGAATGAACGAAAAAAATCGAGCAGAACGAGCTTCTAGAACGCCTGTTAAATTATGAAAAAGAAAATCCCCATCTGGTGAGTAGTCCATACATATTGAATAGTGGGAGCACTAAAGGGAACTCCGAGCAGGGGACAAATCTCGAAGCGTCATCGTCCACCGATGCACAAGGAGGAAATGCGAACAACGCAGAGGCAAATGTGGACAAATCCGAAAAGGATAATAATCACATAGAAGGAGGAAGCCACGTAGGAAGCGAAGAAGAAGAAAATATCAATTACAAGTCGTCGTCATCACCATATATTGGGTCTCAAAAAAAAAAAAAAGTTTTATCAGTTAATAACAGAGAGGAAGATTTTAAGAGAGCTGACATAGGAAAAATGAAAAATTATTTTAAAAACATTTTAACTTCGAATGCCAACGATGAAGGATCCAAGTATCACAAAAATGATGAGAAAGCGGATGCAAATGAAAACTTAAGTCAGAATAATGATCAGGACAAGAAAACCAAAATGGTCATTCCTAAAATTACCTTTTCGGAGACTTCCTTGTCCACGAAGAACACCCTGCAGAAGAATATTCTTTCCGCCCCAGGTTCGCAATACAGGCTAGCCCGCAGGGGTGACAGCACCAAAACGTCCAAGCGTAAACACGCCAAAATGCATGTGCATCTGTCTACATCTACGCACCGAGGTTGCCGTGGTTGCGCGACTCATCACCGGCAGCCACCATTCAGGTCGCCTTAACTGCCTAGTCATTTCTGTTGTCATTTTTTTTTTTTTTTTCCAGAAGATAATCTCTACCTGACGGAGGAGAAAAAGAGGGAGCTGCGAAAGAAGCGATTCGGTAAAAGTGCATCAACAGGATGGACACACAACATTGCGTCGTTCGTGCAGTGCAGACATTTCTCCTCAATTTTCCTCCTAATTTGATACCCAATTTTTTCCTGACTCGTTTTCTACCCATTTCCCAATGCAGGCTTCGTCTCCAAGGATGAGGTCCTGGAGTCCAGAGCCAAGAGGTAATAGAGAAGCACCCAAATGGACAAAAGAAAAAAAAAAAAAAAAAAAAAAGGATGAATGTGCATTTTTCTTACTGGGTTGTACCCTCACTAAGGGGTATACCTCCACATTAGCTCACTTGACATGATCGCACCCTACCCCATTTTTACAGATTCTGCATTGTGACTAAAAAAATGGAAGAGGAGAACAAAAGGAAGCGAGCGGAACGCTTCGGCCTGAAGAATGTAACAAAGCCAACTGTGCTAAAATTGACATGACCACCCCCCCCCCGCAATTTCCATTTCGTTAAATTTGCATTTTCTACTTTCTTTTTTTTTTTTCTTCGTCATTCTTACCTAATCACGTTCGTTGCGCTATTTCTTCCCGTTTCGCAGGATACTCTGAACGACTCCCAAATGAAGAGGAAACGCGCCGAGAGGTTCGGCCTGGTCCAAGACGTAAGCCCCACGCCCAACTGCCGCGCGTGATTATATATATATATATATATGTATTCCCCCTTTGCTGCTATCCTTTGAGCGCACCGGCAGGGGAGGTGACACCACATCTTACGCGTGACTGGGCGATGCAACACCTCAATGTGGTTATTACCAAAGCAAACCTCCCATGAAAAAGACCTCATACGTGGAGGTGTGTCTTCTCCTTTAGCATCGTACTGCTATGGCAACCCATGAAAACCCTTCTTCCCCCATACAGAGTGATAAAATGAAAGCCAGGGCCCTCAGATTTGGCATAAAATAATCATGTCTTTTTTTATCATCGGAAAAAATACCCATTAAGATCCTACAGCCTCTTTTCGATGTTAATTTTTTTCCCCTCATTGGGAGGATTAGACGAAGTAACACAGTCGACCGAGTTAATCAATCCAGTTGGTGTCTTTCCCCTCTTCACGCGAGAAGTAGCCAATGTGGGAGCGCTTTCGTAATGGGAATGGACCTTTTAAAATGAAGTGGTAAAGCAGGCAGTAAAACGAAGATGCAGTTCGAAGTCTTAACCAAATTGCACCAATTCGTTGCAGACCACATCGAATTAAAAACGTGGTGCGGATGATGCTTCATCTGTGCAAGCGATTTGTGGGCGCAGAGTTTTGCACCTTCTGGGGGCCGTCCTTTGTGCTGTTTGTTGCCTCATTGGGGGCAAACCCTTCTACGCAGTTTTTATTACCCCAATTATTAGGCCAATTATTACCCCAATTTTTACCCCAATTTTTACCTCTATTTTTACCTCTATTTTTACCCCTATTTTCACCCCTATTTTTACCCCTATTTTTACCCCTATTCTTACCCCTATTCTTACCCCTATTTTTACCCCTATTTTCACCCCTCTTTTTTGTGTAAAAATGGCACTCCTTTGTTCACTCCCCTTTTTTCATGGACGAGTTAGGGTAACGGCTGTGCTCACCTCGCACGTCATCTCTTCATCGCCCTTTTTGTTAGCCCCTCCCCCCCTTGTAATTTATCTCCCTTCCAGGAGCATATGTGCAGCCTTTTTGAGAAATCATTCCTCCAGGGGGATTTCTTTTTATGTCCTCTTCCCGTGAACATATTACACGAAAGATATCTTTTCTTACTTGTCCATGTTGTGCCATTAATTATCCCATTTTTTTTCTTTTTTTTTTAAACAAAAAATTATGTTTGTTTTAAAAACGAATGAAGCCTTTTATCTTTGCTTTAAAAAGACACACCATTTGGAGTGCAAGCGGATTGACAAAGGGAGAAAAAAAAAAAAAAAAACCCAGCGGAGCGAAATGGAGGCAAGTGAATCGGAATGAAGTGCACTGCGAGGTGGAAGAACGTATTGTGAACCCCCTACACAGGATGATACCAGTCCGATAGCGCAGTCCCACCACTCTCCGATTGTAGAAACGTTGCGTTTTTGGTCCTGTTTCTATTTGGAACCCCTAATAAGCGAGGCGAGGGAAGGTCCTACGCAACCGCATCATTTGTAGAGCGTCTACACGGATACACATGGACGGATTCGGCAAATAGGTACATGGAAGCTTCTTCTCCACTTCGCAGTTTGTCCAGTCGCTTGGCCGATTCTCCCCCGCTTCAGCCTTCGCGATGACTACCATCAGATGGATGCACAGGAAGGGGCAGAACTGCGAAAAGCGAGTCATCTCCCTGAACGAAATCAAGGAAAGGTACCTAAACGACGCCGCAAATCAGAGGAAGGACAAACGGAATGAGAACAGTTGTCCCAATGAGATAAACCCAGGCACAGAGAAAAAAAAGGGGAAAAAAAAACTAATCACATTTTACCAAAAGAAGGAAGAAAAAAATATCAAACAGCGAAAGGGATTAAGCGAAAAGAATGCCAATATCCATTTTGGGAAAAAAAAATATTGTTGTTCAGGTGAAAAAGGAGAAACAAAAAATGGCTGTTCCGAATGCAGCGGCAAAGTGGGCCCCCTTCTTGGTCAATATGGGATGTCTTCTAGCGATAGCGATCTGGAAAAAGGGACAAAAGACAGACCCCTGGAGGGGGAAAACAACCTGTGTCCTCCTCACCATGCGAAGCAACAAGTCAACATAAACCTAGACGTCAACATTCAATGGAACAAACAAAACGGGAAATTTCAAGGGGGTAACTGCAATGTGGGGGATATGAGAACCTTTCACGGAGATGAGCAAACATGGCAAACCATACAAGATAAAACCAAAGGGAAGAAACAAATACACGTATCCATTAGGGATAACTACGCTGGAGAGAATGGTAACGGCAGTGAATTCCCGATACCATATGAACAGGGAAGAAGTCGAAAGGGGGAGGTATCACACCCAAGGGGGAGAAAGCAATATAAAGAGCACTTCCCTTATGGTAACCTAAGGGAACGGCACTATCATCAGCATAGCGACGGTGAGTATTCCCAGCGAAGCCGTGATAGGGGCAACCACAACCACGGAGGGATTCCTAACCCTCTCCACAAAAACAGGCACATAAACTGTTTTGAAGAAGAGTGTACCACGTATGATGGAACAAGACCCGCCCCGTATGTCCCCCTCGAAGAAAGTTCCGGTAATCACCCATGGGGTAACTTCCACTACGAGACAGAGAAGGAGCAGAGTCAGTTTCGATATGACAGTGGGGTGAAACTTCATCCAGTGCAGAAGATACAGCGGCATGGAGTTGAAGCGTATGAAGGGGGGGTTGAGGAGAGCGTGCATCTCTATGTGAAGCAGCCTCACCCGAGCGTTAAGCAAACCCATCTGTCTGTTCAGCAACTCCAACAGAATGGTAAGAACCCTCTCGCAGATCCACTCAAAACGCACCCACCGAAAGGGAAGAAGAAATATGCTTACCTGGTGGACCCAAAACGAATTTGTAGCGATGGAGAAGGGAAGAGAATAAACTCTTTCCAAAAAAGGACAGGCTTCTTCCAAGCGAGTGGCAAACATACAGATACTGATCTCCTCGAGAGTAATCACTTCAGTGAACTTAGCTGGATAGGCGAAGGTAAAACAAAAAAAGGCGGCAGTCAGGCCCACCCCCCGGAGTGTCTTCCCCCCCCAAATGAGTATCACAAAACAGCCTATCTTGTCAATAGTGAGGAGGTTCTCCTGATAGAAGCGAAGAAACAGAAGCTATATGAACAAGATAAGAAGAAAAAAAAAATCATTTTATCAATAAACACAATTAGTAACATTTTAAAAAAGAAAATCTTTAATTACGTAACAAGATGGAAGAAACATTCCTTGGTAAGAGGCCTCCGTCCTGTCTACAAAACATATTCCAAGATTGTTTCCTCAGGGGAGAACCATCCTGGAGATAAGAAGCAGGGCTCCCTTTCCGCAGTGTCGGAACGAGCCATACAGTACGCATTCCCTCGGAGGGGAGATATTCCCTTGCGTTCTTTTCAAAAAGTGCCAAACGAGGGAAATTGTTCCGAAAAGGGAATTCCCAGACCCATGGGGGAAGGACTACCACAGGATGGAGATAAAGAAGAAACGCCGCTAAGGGAGGAGAAGAAGAACAACAACAGGAAGAAGAACAGCAACAGGAACAACCACAACAACGGGAAGGAAGTGAGCATGGAGGAGGCCTTCCAAAAGAGGGAAGTCGCACACTACAATGTATCGGGGGTATCTCCATATGCAAAAAAAAACAGCAGAGAGAATTTAAAACTGTATAGACAGCTTTCCCAGAGGAAGGTACTGACAAACACGCTGATTGACAGCTTCATCGATGTGGACATCCACGATCAGCGGAAGAAGAAAAAGTACCTGAAATTTTTCTCCATTTTGTTGTGCCTCTTCCTGAGGAGGCACATGCACAGGCAGTTGTCTTCTTTCTTTTCCGTGATCGGGTCGTGTCACCGGCGGCAGGTGAGTTCGTCGGGGAGGCGAGCACCTCTAGGTGTAGCTACGCCGAGGGGGCGAATAATACACTCGGGGAAAGGCGCAAAATGGAGGGAGCGACAAAATGGACGGAGCCGCGAAACGAGCCACCCCAATGTTGTCTTTAGAACAACACAACCATTCGCTGTTCCTTTTTTCCCGCCCCCACCGACGCAGGAAGAGAAGAGGAGCATACGCAAGTTCATCAATAGTAGACTATATGCTGTGTCCATCCTGGAGGGGGCACTAAAACGGAGCGAGAAGAAAGAAGCTCTCAGGAAGTTGGCACTGTTGGAGGAGAAGCGGGACGGCAACGAGGCTAAGCAGACGCACAAGCATTACAGGGATCACCCCATAGAGAGTAACAGCACAGAAGAAAGGAGCGTTATGAAGAGCCCACCACACCATGTTGGATCTTCACACAGAGATAAGACCCCGCATGATCACCGCGTGAGTGAAGGTACGCAGAAGAACAAACCAAAGCTTACCTCCAGTAGAAGCCATGAGAAACCCTGCTTTGGTAAGCCCAAAATTTTCAGGACTGACGACTTTGCGATTTTTTTCAACAAAAAAATATTAAAAGAAAAAGACGACATCCTGCAGAAGTGTCTCCTACGATCCAAGTCTGATGCACTGTTGGATTTCTTAAAAATGACAAAAATGGAGAATTTTTCAAAAAAAGCTACCTGCAGTTCAGCCGTTTTAAATTTTCCCGACGGTGTTTATTACAATGACGATATGAGGAGTTCCACTTTACTGGATCGATTCTTCACCGCTACGTACAGCCCGGATGTGAGAAGTGGGCAGGGAAGTGTTCATCGAAATGTGCATAAAAAAACACACAGAGATAGAATCCACCTGTCCTTCTACGAACATATGACTGACAACTCCACACTGAAACGCAGCTCAGTAAATTACCAACAAGATCTGAACAAACGGGAAACCCATATGCACTTTAAAAGGGAATGTTTCGCAACGGGGGGACTTAACTGTGTAGATTCAACTAGCCAAAGTAGTACCAGAGGTAAAGAACGTCGTACTACAAATATAGCAGATGCGGTTGATGCGAAAATGGGATCCATATCGGAAGTCATGAATAAATTGGGTTACCTCATCGGAGACTCTAACTTCTTCAGCGGTGTAACTCCCGGGAGGGGAGGAGACCATATGGACGACTCCAGCGAGGAGGACGTGAATGACAAAAGGTGTAGGATGTTCTTTAAGCATTTTAAGAAGCAGCTCACCATGAAGTGCAAGGGGGCAGCAGCAGGTGAGGAACACTGCGGGGAAGAGCATCACAGCGGGGAGGAGCATCTCTGCGATGCAGGCGTGGCGCAAAACGGGCTGAGCCTCAGCGACCTGAACAGCACCGTGGGCATCTCAAAAGGGGGGCAAACGTATACGCATCGAGGTGGATGTCGAAATGGAAATCGTGGCATTGCGTTTATACATCCATGAAATTGTGGCGGAGTTTTTTTTTTTTTTTTTTTTAACCCAGTGGTGTTTAAGTCAAAGCAGCAGAGGTTACCCAATTGGTAGAAGGGACAGGTGGCGGCTCTCCCTCAAGCGAGTATACATCTTCAGTCGCTTCTCCACAGAAGTAATTTCTTCAGGTCAGGACTTCCTCACATTTTGCTGATTACATTTCTGTGGTGAAAAGGATCAGGCAAGGCGGCTACGTCCCATTTTGTGCGAAAAGGCCTGCGGGGAACTTTTTTTTTTTCCTTCACCCTTCATGTATCGCGTCATTCTGAGATTATATATTCTTTCTTACCTCTTTGGTGGAATTTTTCTGCGCCTTCCCTTTGCACCCCTGGGAACACAACAGTTTTTCTTACCCTTTACGTCGAGTTGCGCTGCTTACATGCACAAGGAGATAGCTGGCACTTCAGTCTGATAATCCACGCGCAATGAACACCCTGTTTCATGTGGAAGTCACTTCGTTGAACTGTTCGGCAGAGTATCTTCCCTGAGGGGGGCAACCATTACTGATGAAAAGCGCGACGGGGGAGAAAGCCAGACAGGCGAAGAGGAGACACAAACGGAGGCTACTTTAGGGAGGGATGCACAAACTTGGGGACCTCTTTTTTTCACCTTTTTTTTTTTGCCGGAAGTGACGGAATACACCTCAAAGGGTCACCTGACAGAAAGACGAGAAACTACTAACCGTCGTGTTCCCCCCTCCAAATGGCACTCAGCGGCTTCCTTCCCAAGTCACTGCTCAGATGCTCAGCTGCCAACTACGCCGTTAAAGTGACTCCGCCAAACGCAATAAAACACCTCAGCACAGCGAAAATCCCAGAAAGCTTAAAAGCGTTGTACGAGAAAAAAGTCGAACAAATGGAATTGCGAAGGAAGAAGTTGGAGGAGAAGAAAAAAAAAATGGATAAGGTTCAAATTTCGAAGGAACGAAAAAATAAATTCAAGTCTTCCAAGGGGCAGCACAACGTATTTTAACCATGTCTCCAGAAATTAGGCTGTCTATTCAAACGGGGAACAGCAAAAGATAGGCGTTGCTCACCGGCGGGGGTTCCTAATCCCCTGCGTTGATAAGTCGTGATAGTCGTGTGTCCCCCTTCGCATGCACAGAAATGCGCATCAAGTACACACGCAGACAGGCACATATGTACGTACTTCTACATACTTATACCTACTTCTGCTCATTTTGTGCCCATTTTGTGGCCTGCGAGGTGAACCAATCTACGCGGCTCCCTCCACCTTGAGCGCAGTTAAGAGAAACCCATCGGCCAGTTTGGCATTTTTTATCACTGGATGCGTTCGCCGCTTCAAAACTTGCTGCTCTCGTAACACAAATTCATTCAGCTTTATGTTTATGAAGGAACTCGTACCCATTAGGCCCTTCAAAAATAGGCTGCACAGATTTAAGTCGTCCGTATGAATAATCAGCTTGCTGTCATTTTTGAGAAATTTCAAAGACACCTTGATGAGTGTATCGATGAGGAGAGACACATCTGTGTTTGTGTTGTAAAGGAAGTCACTCGATATGATTACGACGAATGCTTCCGCTCCGCTGTTGTTCATGTGGTTTATCAGCATATGTTGTAGCTGCAAGGGGGGGGGTGACCCGATTGGGTTGTCCGCCTCTCCGTGGGCCTTCTTTGCACGTTTGTTTGGAGGGGGAGCGACAGAGGGGTGCTCCCGACTTTGCTTCTCTGTTTCATTCGTCGGGTCCGTCTTGCCGTCGGGGGGAGTCCCAACATGGTCGCCCCCTCCATGATCGGGGTGGTCAATGTAGTCTACCTGGTCGACATGGTCTACTCTCCTCTTGCGACATTCCACGTTTGACAAGTCTGCCATTTCGGCCACTTGGACGACCTCCGCCGCTTCTTCCGCCTCTACCACTTCGTCCGCTTCTCCCACATCCATCACTTGGACCTCTTCCGATGCCGCCTTCCCAACGAGCTGGCATCTCCCGTCGATGGCGAGCCACTCCCCGGTGTTCAGTCGTGGCGCGTGTGACGCCTGCAGGATGCTGATCTTAGCCACGTTGGTGCTTTTAGGAATGCCAAAGGTAGGGACGATCGAATTGGAGGCATTTTTATGAATTAGAGAAAAAATATTAACATGGTCAGAATAAATGATGTTCAGCATGCTGGTTAGTAAACCGAAGGAATCGTCATAAATGATTACATTAGGTTTGTGAGTGGAGAAGCTGTGGAGAGCTTCATGGCCTAATTGATCTGAGGCGCCATTCGCATGGGATTTCTCCGTCTCCTCATGGACCTTTTGCGTCTCTTCCTTTTCTTCGCTGCTCTGTTCAGTGTGTTGGGAGTCCTCCCTGATGACGAGAACATCTCGATTTAAATGGAACAACAAATTGGACAAATAATCGACCCTAACGGAGGAGACTTTCTCGGGAAAATACTTGTAATAAAAATTGATCAGATTCACAATACTACATTCGTACACAGTAAACTGACACAGGTGTCTCTTTAATTTCTTCTCGACATATTTAAATTTGGATATGACCGTTTTGTCTTTGTATGTGGAAGAATTGGTGACCAATTTTTGTATAACTTCGTATGGATTTTCTGAGACATTATCTTTCAACTCAGCAATGTTCTCCTCAGTTAATCTCTGCGAATTGCTATTCTGAAAAATGTCTTTATTTGTTCCATGAATATCTCCATAAAAATCAATGTCGAGCTTATTTTTCTTCTTTTTACTCCTAACCCATTTGTTATTTATGTGAGTGTATGTCGATCCGTACTTTTTATTCACAAGGAACATTAAATTGAGATAGTTTTTTTTTATTTTAATCTTCATGTCCACCACTTTGTGCAGCCTGCACTTGAGTTCATCGTCGATGAGGACGAAGTCGTGCTTCCGGATTTTCATCCTAACGTTTGGGGAAAGTGTCCCACTCGGCTAAGCGGAAGCCAAGGGGTGGCAAGTGGTCCCCTCCAGGTTTTATTTGTAGGATGGAGGGAACGAGGAGGTCACAATCTGGGAAACCGCCTACGATGGTTTCACACAAAATTTGTGCCTTCCCCTTATTCGCAGCGCAGATCTCTTTTTTTCTTATTGCTCCTTTCTCGTAACCATGTGGGTGGGGTCTACGGTGACCCCGTGAGACATCCGAAAATGGGCGGCCTACTGTGAGACCCTGCAGGTACAATTGTGCAAATTGCGTCGATGGACGTGCGTAGGGGGATGTCCCAATGGGGGGGTCACTAGGCGTGATATAACCAGCGTGTCACTGACCGTGAGCCGCCCCACCCCCGATGTCAATATGCGCCAAAAGGGTGCCACTTACGGGAAAGAGAAATCTGTTGCCACGTAACAGATGTCAAGTTGGTAATGTTCTCCTTCGCCGTGACGTCCTGGTTGCTTAACATGTATGTATATATATGTATTATATACCTATTATATATCTATTATATATGTATGCATTTTTTTTATTTGCTTTGTGACGACATGCTGGTCAAGCGCAGCCCGGGTGCAGTTGTGAGCGTAACCGAGATTGGTACAATTCGTAGCCCTTGTAGCCTTAGTATCCCTGGCAGCCTAGGATCCTTGGGAGGCAACCCCCCAAATGGCTTCTTTTTTTTCTCTCTGTGACGGGCAACGGAGTTGCTAGGGGCGGCAATGCCAAACTGGGGTAACGCACGAAGAGGGACATAGCCCACCACTGCGCATTTGTGAAGAAGAAAAAAAAGGGACCTAAGTTGTAATGGAAGGAGCTCCTTTCTAGGGAGGCTTTCTTGAAGTAGCATTTCTCTTTTTCTCCTTTCCTCCTCTTTTTTTTCCCATTTTTGCATTTCTCAGGGGAAAAAAAAACGCCTGACCTTTTTTTCTTCACCGGCCGAGTCCCCCCAGGGATATATGTCCCCCTGCGCCCATTTGCTAATTCGCTCATTCGTTTGTTCTTTATGCACATTTTTGTTCATTTTTTTTTCTTTCCTTTTCTCTTTTTCTTTTTTTTGTGCTTGAATATCTGCGTCATTTCGTCTGTGCCCCCAGCGGTGACTTCACGTGAGAGGCATGTAATGAGGAGCTTTTCTCCCCTCCAGCGTTTAACACGCGTGGCAGTGTACACCTGTGTGTATACAACTGGGATTTAGTTGGCATCGCGGCATCAATCGTGGGGGAGGTCTCTCCATCGGGACGGCTTCTCCAGCAGGACGGTCTCTCCATCGGGGACGGCTTCTCCAGCAGGGCGGTCTCTCCATCGGGACGGCTTCTCGAGCAGGACGGCTTCTCCATCGGGACTGCTCCCCCCCCGTAGCGCCTATCCCTTACGTACCCTCCGCACGTGGAGGATTACGCCGACGCTGAGTAACGCCCACACGATAAGGCAAAGCAAAATGGAAAATGACATCTTCGAGAAGAGTAAAAATGAGTTGGAGAGAATCTACTTAAGTAAACATGTCGTGGTGCACCCGATAGTCCTCCTCTCAGTGGTGGACCATTATAACCGCATAGCAAGTAACACAAAAAAGAGAGTCCTCGGTACAATCCTTGGAGAAAAAATAGACGGCGTTGTACATCTAACAAATAGTTTCGCCCTCCCATTTGAAGAAGACATCAAAGATATCAACATCTTCTTTGTCGATGATAATTACAATGAGAATCTCTTCAATATGATACGAAAGATTAATACTCGAGAGAAGATTGTCGGCTGGTATACTACGGGGTCTAACATTAAACCGAATGACATTTTTATTAATGAGATTTTTTACAAATATCACCACGCTCCGATCTTCCTTTTGGTCAATGTGCACACGGATCAGAGCATCTTTCCTGTTAATGCTTATGTGGCCATTGAGAAGGCCATCTCTGACAACAAGTTCAGGAAGACCTTCATCCACATCCCCGTCACGATAGGTAAGTGAGGATGCAGCCCTGACAGCGGTGGTGTAAATGTATCTGTTGAGTGGTATTTTGTCTACCGCCTACTTCCTACTGCTTATTCCCCCCATCGCTCCCCCCCCCCGCAGGCGCGTTCGAAGCCGAAGACGTTGGAGTAGAATTCCTTCTGAAAGAGCTGAAGAGCGTGTCAACGTCCACCCTGGCGACCAAAGTCGGGGACAAGCTCTCTTCCCTAAAAAGCCTCATCTCGAAGCTCCACGAAATCTCTGCCTACCTAAATGACATTCTCAGTGGAAACATTGAAATGAACATTAAAATTTTGTACAATCTCCAAAACGTATTTAGTCTCCTCCCGGACACGGAAAACCCAGAGCTATTAGAAGCCTTTATGGTGAAAAATAACGACATCATGCTGAATGTCTTCATTGGAAGCATTACCAGGTCGGTTATTGCTCTACACAATCTGATTAATAACAAAATTGAAAATAAAATAAACGCCGAGAAGAAGAAGCAGCTCGACGTATCCAAGGACGCGGAGGAGGACAAGGAGAAGGAGAAAGAGAAGGACAAAGAAAAGGACAAAGATATGGACAAAGAGAGGGAAAAATTGAAGAAGAAAAACTAGCGCGCGGAGAGATCGCGCTGAAGTGAAGATACCTTGACAGATTGCCCCATCGGTGCGTAAACCGTCCAATGCAGAAAAGGTAAAACAATGTAGAGGGATAAAATCACCAAATCGAGCACCCTCTGCGATGAAAAAATAAGTCCCGTTCGAATAAACTCCATTGCAGTCTTGTTTGCACAGCGAGTGCCAAAATGGGACAGCGTCCTCTCCATTTGGCATGCAGACACATCAAAAAGGAAAAGAAGAAGTGTCCACGTGTGCGAAGGGCACCCGCGATATGATACCTTCCCTGTGGTACCCTGTCTGTGATACCCGCATTGTCTGTTTCTTCATTTTAACTTAACAGTCCCAATAAACCCTTCTTTCTTTTACCCCCTTTTTTAATTTTACCAAAAAAATTTGCGTCAAAAAAAAAAAATAAAATAAAAATAAACCATCAATTGATGTAAGGCCCAAATGCCATTACAGAGTAGTGTGCGTATATCTCCTCATGGGGTGTTTGGGAGAGGGTCCAATGGAGAGGATGCCGTGGTGGAAAATATAAGGACGCGCATACGTCTAAGCATTTACTCGGCCGATCAGCTCATCCCTGCACATCGTTACCCTTCGAAAGGGTACTCATCACCTCCACTGATCGCTTGTGCATATCGTCGATCATCTTGTTTAGCTCCATGTTGTCAAAAAAACCGGGTGTGTTCCCGAAATGATTTTTTATTTCGATTTTTTCGCTCAAGTTGTACTTGCGCCTGTTTCCCACGTTTGCGAATCCTGCATGGTGAAATGGGATGATATGGATGGAGGTGTTTTGTATGGCAACTGCGATTGAGATTGTGATTACCAGGGGCTACACTACGTCATGTCCACAAGATACTTCCCCCCCCTTTGAGGGCTACACATCTAGAGAGACAGAAAGGAATGGATCTCTTGCATCACATTTATCATTCCATGTGGGGGAAAAAGAAAAATGGTAAAATTCCCCCCGCATGGGGCTGACTTCGAATGGGAAAACTTACCTGACAGGGGTAGGGCTTCGGACCTGAAGTCGATGACCTTTGGGCTTTTGTGCTGTGGTATCACCGCTCGTTCGTCATCTAAGGGGGGGGAAGTGGACACACATCGGGTGAGTAACTCATGGGGGGAGTAACTCACGGGGTGGCGCTCTCCTTACAACGCGAACAATTTTTCATTGGCCGCACTTGGAACTCAAGCGTGAGCAACCATTCACACTGCACGGAAGAACCAAAATGGATTTCCTTACCTGGATAGAGAAACTTATTGGGTGGTCTAATCAAATCTTCCTGTGTATTTTCTAAAAAGGAGGAAAGAAGAAAGGTTAATAAAAAGGTGGATGGTACAACTAGGTAAGCTTCCTCCCCGATGGAGTGCTCCCAATCTGCTTGTTCTTTTTTTTTTCTTCTTTTTTTTCTTCTTTTTCTTTTTCTTCTTTTTTTTCTTCCTTTTCCATCCTTACTTTTCTTATTCAATCGCTTTATCTGGTTGTGCAATTTGACTACATTGGGCTTTTCTATAATTTCTGCGTTGTTAAGTGGGTTGGAAAAAAAAGTGAAAAAAGAAAATGACACAAGGGGTGATCGTAATCGTCATCGTGATTGTGATCGCGACCCTGATCATGATAACGGTATTGATCAGCCAGGAGGATGCAGAAGGAGCTAAACCGGAAGCCAAAGCAACGTCCGTCCGCCACCCCCCCATCGAGCGCTTACCATTCACGTGGATTCGCTTGATCGTCCTGAACCTACGCTTAACCTTTGACCGTAGTCCCTTGGCCATGTTTTGTCCTTTCCGCTCGTCTTAAAGGGGAAGCACCATGCAAGAAGGGAGAAGCGGACTACTTCTATGCTTAAGCCTCAACGTAGCTACGGGAAGGATCCCTCGAAGTTGGAAAATTTTTCTGGGGAAAGTGCTAGTTGGGGGCCGTCCAAAGCCGAGTATGTTTTCTATTGGGCGAGATTGGCAAATGGAAAGAAGAAACGGTATTATCCCAGTAAGTTGCGCGGGGAAATTAAAAGAAATTAAACTCAAAATTGAGGATAAAAAATGCGAAACGGGAAATAAAAAAAGGGAAGCAAAAAAAACGAGCAAAACGTGGTATGAGGAAAATGCGAACCCGCTCAACGTCCATGATAACGCAGCTGCGAATTTGTTTCCAACTCAACGGATCGCTTTTTTCGGCCACGGATGCGCTGCCAAAAAGGGGCGGCAAAAAATGACGACCAAAAAATACGAGGAAAAAATGACCGCAAAAAATACGGGCAAAAAGTGGCGACACAAAATGGCCGCATAAAATGGCGAGCAAAAGAAACCGCTAAACTGAACGCATTGCGCGCCAAATCGGAGCACCCCGCTTCTTCCCTGCTGGCCTACCACACCCACTTCTTCCTGCGCACGTGGAGATCCTTGGGGGCCCTGTAGTAATGGTTGCTGTACGTGCCGAAGTCGAAGGTGACGTTGGGCACGAGCATTCGGATGTGCGTCTCCAACCGATCAAATGGTACGTGTAGCCTCTTCACACTTTTGAGCATCTTAAACAGCTCAAAAATCTCGATATTAACAAAATTGCTCCTATGGATAATTTCGACAATTCTGGAAATCATCTTATCGTTCTTATAGGACAATTTCGCACACGAATTTAAATATTTTATGGCCTCCTCGGGGGACAAATAATTTGCGTTGTTGTCAAGCCTTGCACACAAAATATTATCCACCGCAGAAAACACCTTGCCGTTCAGGTAATAAATTTTGCTATACGCATGAACGATATTGATCAGATCACTTCCTTCCAGCGAGTTGATCTTCCTTTCGCGAAGGAGGAGATCCCCAATGATGTCATAAACGTCCCGTTCGAAATATAGATTCTTACTGTAACTTAGGAGATAATTCATTAAGTCGATTGGAGTACAGTTGACAAAAAAATTTCGGTAAGATTTCACCTGCACATTAAATCTCTCCATGTGTATTTTGGACAACAGGATCCTCACATTGCAGTGCACCTTTGTTAATGATATTAAGCATTGGGACAATTCTGAACAACCCATATGTCGGTACACGTGCTGCAGGAGGAGCAAAATTTCGTTGTACAGCTCGTCTATATACATGCTGAATTTGCTGTATGCGTATAGTACATCCGTCAGGTTTTGCGATGCTTCGCTGATCAGTTGAGGAGTCTCCTTCGATTCTTCTTCTGACCCTGCACACGCTGCTCGGGAGCCGCTTTCCCCACGATTATAGTCGCTGCTGCATTGGTGTGCCACTCGGAGATCCTCATTGTACCCCTTTATTCTCTTCAACGTAGGGGGGTATAAATGCAGGAGCAGTTTCTCATGGTACGTCTTATTCTTGGCATATGAATACAGTATCATCCTGATCTGCTTAAAGGGGGTACTCTTGGCGATGTTTTCTCCTACTAAGTAGTTCCCCACTTTGTGTAGCAATTTGGTTAATTTTGTATGAACATGTTGGGAAGCCTTATCTGCCTGATTGACTCTCCCATTTTGTGACTTCTCTTTCCTGATTGCAAAATGGGGAGACGCCTCGATAACTTCGAAAAGCTCTGCATGGGAAAAGGAGCTGCTATAATTCCCGATTATTTGAATTATCTCTCCGATGGGAATATCTTCCAAGTGTATTAAATTTTCTCTGTACAAATGAGCAAAGCTGTAAAAGGAGTTACTTATGGCTAGCGTTGTACATGTCCCTAATTTGATATGCTCCTTCAGCTTAGTCATCAGGGTGAGTAATAGTGCTCCATCTTTATAATGGCAATTTACTACTATGCGGAGAATGATGGAGAGCAATTCGCTATCCTTTACTTTGACTATCTCTGAGGATAACTTCGCGACCAATTCGTGGATACACACGAGCTTACTCATGGTGTGTAGGAGAAGAAACAGAATTTTTAAGTCTTTTTCCATCTTGATGATTTCGTTCATTTGTTCAATTAAGTCATTTGCTGTCTCCTCGGAGATGTCCTTTTTCTCTCCGATCAGTCCATATAAGGTTTTTAAAAACTCGTATGATGTGCTCTCTTTGTTGGTACCCTGGGCGAACGAGTTGGTGGATTCTCCCGCATCTTTGTTTCCATCCCGGTGAGTAACTCCCTCTTGGGTGGACACAAATGGGTTAGCCCCTTTACCTGCTTCGCCACTATCAGGGCAAATTTCCTCTCCGTTTTGATGCCCCTCAGAGAACGTATCAGCTAGGTAATCCGTCCTGATGCCCCCTTCGACGGCGTCCCCATTTTGTGCATCCCTATGGAGGGGTGTCCCTCTCCCATGTGCGACTATTTTGAACTTCCTTAACTTTTTGTTTCCCCTTCGTAAAGTGGTGGCATCACCTTGTGGACACACTTGAGGGAACTCTCTATCGTGCGATGAGTGGTGTTTCCATTCTTCTGTCCCGATGTTGTTTGGAGCCAACGGAAAGGACATTTCATAAGCATTAATTTGAATTTTTTCTTTTCCCGGCTCATGGGCGTACTTTTCGGGGCCGTCCTCCCTCCACTTCTTACCCCCGCAATGAGCATTTTCCTCTGCTAGGGGAATTTCACTGCTATTCCCTAACGGGGGCAGTCTGTCCTTTCTCCTAACGCTTCGAACATACTTCACGTGGATAGAGCGAAACGTTCGCGATTTGGCAAGGAGATTTGAGAACATAATTCCGCTGTTGTGCTTATCTTTTGCATATCCCTTGAATTTCCTTTTTTCTTCCTTTTCTGCTGTTCCTTCACCAATGACAGGACGATTGAAACAGAAAAAAACGTACCACCTGGTTAGTCCATCGCTCGAACATTAAGGTATCGCATCAAAATGTTTCTTCTTCCCGCTCGCGTTGTAGAAGTAGAGTCAGTACAAACGTTTCTTTGCAAAAATGGAGACGCGAAAAGAGTGTTAAAAAAGAAAAGAAAAAAAATGAATCCATCTGCACGAACATTGCTCAGGTGTGCCACGTGAGATAACTATATGGCGAAAATACTACTTTACAGGTTTTCCATTTTTTTCATTCACATTGTTGACATTATCTTTCATTTTATCCACAATCGGGTTGAATATGTAGTACCCGCTGAAAACGCCGATGATGGTTGCCACACATATGCTTTTAAAGTCCGTTCTCCGCTTCATTTTTTTGTAGCTTCCCCGACGGTGTCAGAATCTAGCTGCCGTCTTGGCCGTGCGCAGTAGTGCAGTGCTATATAGTCGTGTTGTATATAATGGGTCAAATCGCGCGGTTCGCTCCTTTTTTATTTTTCTTTTTTGTGAATTTTCCCAAGTGCTGTTACAGTTATGGGTGAGAAGTTACACAATCGAATTAGCGGGGTGGGAGAGAAAAAAAAAGGGCAACTATATTCTACACGGTAAGCGTATGTGCAAAAGTATGCCTTCCACGCCTGTGCATTCCCCCAACGCAGTAACGTACCGGTGGACAAGCTCCCCTCCAGGAGCGGCACGAGAATCTATTTCACCTTCGCCGCTTCCCGTGTTTATGGAGGGGATAGCGCAACGAGTAATATGCAGCTTCTGTGCCTTTTTCCTAATCAAGCAAAATTTACACGCCCCTTTTTTTCCACTCCCTTCTGTGTGAAGTGAAAAACACCATTGGGGGAGTGTCTCATCAACCATGAGATGTGTAGATAAGTCTATTCCATGCGCGTAAGCTCATTAGGCCAATTTGACCGATTAGGCCTCCCTGCATACGTATCTTTCGCTTAGATGTTGTCCTACACAAAATGACCCCCACGAAAACGCCCTCTTAGAGAGGCGATTTGAATAGGAAATTTCCAAAATTGGTAAATCTTCTATCCGTTTTAAGGATTACGTTTCAGGCTGATCCTTTCCACATTAGCAAAAGAGCACCCCCCGAAAAAAAAAAAAGTAATTTTCAATATCCTGGCCATGTAGATAATGTTGCAAAAATGAAATGGTGACAAAATTAATAAAAAAATGTGGTATTCCTTTCTGTAACCATTCTCCCTCTTAACTTCCTTTCCTTTGCGCGTGATAGGGGCAAATAAAATGTGAGATCATCAGTATAGAGAAGATAAAAATGGCACTCACGCGACGAGAAAAGTGCCTGCGCTGGCACCATGCACAATGGGGAAAAATATGAACAGGTAACATGCGCGAAGTATGTATGCTCATAATATACTTATACATCCATCGAGGCATACCCCATCGTGCAATGCTGTGGCCTGCTAACATGCGACTATGCATGGCATCGGTGGATCGTCCCTATTCTGGGGGAACCCGAAAAAGGGGCATTGTTTACCCCTTCGCATGAGTCAATGGTGCCCCCCTTTATCTTTTTCTTCCTCTTGGCCCAGCGCTAACATCAAGTGGAAAAAGAAAAAAGAGAGAACAAAAAAAAAAATGCTTAAATCGCCTGAACAGTTCATAAAAGTGAATATTTTACCCCTTGCCGTTCATGCGAATTTAAAAAAAAAAAAAAACAATTATCATTTAGCTATTTTAGCGAAAAGTACCCAATAATTCTTCCTCCATTCGGTCAGTCGTACGTGGCACCCGTTGTTAAGAAGCGTATTTTTACCATATTGACCATATTCACCGCATTTATCATTTTAACTGTATTCACCACGTTTACCATTTTAACCGTATTCACCACATTCACCTGACGCGCAAAGCATCGGATTCTTTCTTGGGCTCATTCAATTTTAACCATTCGTTCCCGTGGCATACGGAATATAACACCTACTTAACATCTCTTAGCTTCCCATTTTTTGCACATCCCCCCTTTCAACATGGCTAGCAACGCAAATTTATTAACCGTCAAGGGCGAAGGGGACTATGCCAAACTGAACGCCTTTTTCGCCCAGCACTCGTACTACCAAAATCACATGCTAAGTGCCATGGATCTGAAGATCTTTAATCAGATAAAATGTGTGGTAAATAAGGATACCTACCCCCATTTGTATCGTTGGTATAAGCACATCAACTCCTTAGACAGTTATGTCATCGATCAGTTTAAGGATCCCTCCGAAAAGGGGAAAAAAGCGGGACGTAGCCACGCACCAGAGAAAAAGAACATCCCAGAAAATGATGATGTTGATAACGATATTGACCTATTCGGGGACAGCAATAATAATGACCAGAGCATTCTCTTACAGAAAAAAAAACAGAAAGAAGAAGAATTAAAAAAGAAGAAGCAGAAAGAGAAGGAGAAAAATAGGTCCATTTTAATTATCGAAATAAAACCCAAATCAATTGACACTGATATTGGTAAAATCCCCAAACTTGTTAAGCAAAAAATTGTTGATGAAAATATCAAATGGGGTGAGGAAGTAAAAAAATTGCCCGTAGCATTTGGCCTGTACAAACTTCACATGTCTTGTATTATATATGACGATTTTGTCAATACGAATGACTTGATAGAGAAAATAGAAAACATTGACTTGGATAATGAGGAGGACAAGAAGAAAAGGAAGCTGATTCTCGGCCTGGATGGAGAGGTAAACGGCGCCGACAGTGACGAGGAGGGCGACGACGGTGGGGCCAACGGGGACGATGTGAATTATGAAGACGTGGAGGACGACCTGGACTTCCTGGTGCAGTCGGCCGAGATTATTACCTTCAACAAGTTGTGAGCGGCGCGCGGGCGAATCAGCCAGGAAGTGTGCTCATGCGTACATATATACATACATATATATATATATATATGTACACATGTCTGCACCTGTTCCGATGGGACAGTGCTCGTTCACCCCCCCAAAGTTGGCACACGCACAGACAAGGCACACCTGGATGGCGAAGCCTTATATATACTGCCTTTCCTACCCTGTCACTGAGGCGAAAAATGTACATATTCCCAAATGCGTCATTTTTCTTTTTTTCCATTTTTTTTTTTTCCGCGCGACAAATAATCGTATGTTGTAACTTCTTCCTTGGAACCGCCACTCCACAGTAACGTGGGGCTTTGTCGAAGCAGTAAACTCCCGTGGTGAAGTCGCTTCGTTGGAAGAGTCGCCGCAGGGAAGACACAGCAGTTCTCGAACCTGCACACTGCAGTGCCGAAGTGGCTATGTAGAGCGCCTCCACGCGGGGCTGATCCAAAAAAAAAAAAAAAAAAAAAAAAATATGAACAGCGCTTTATCAGTTGCCTCAAACCTAGGCAGCTGTGATTTACCCTATTTTCAAACAAACGAAAAGGAAATGCAAAAAAAAAATTATTAAGCAGAAGGGGAACTAAACAGAGGGGAGGGGGCGCCCCAATGCAAATCGCTCTTTCTGCACATGCGGTTCCACTCGCAATTACGCGCGTGGTGCGATGTGTGGAGTAAGGATGCCGCGAGAGCAACAGTCTGGCACGATGGAAGAACAAATAAGGCATGCTACATGAGTAAAAAAAAAAAAAAAAAACTGAAATCACTATAACTATCCTAGCATGATGGGACGAAACCGCGAAAGGAACACCCCTACTTGTAACTGACGATAAAGTCACCCTCCTTTATGTTCAGAATGACCGAGTCGTTGGGCTGAATCTTAATGTTGTATATACCATCAATATACACGATGGTGTTGCTCGTGCAGGTCCGTATATTGACATACTGGCAGTTGTAGACATGGTCGGTAGAATCGTATACACTATTTTCGACGGGCTCTTTGACAATACACTTCATATGTTTGCTACTTGGATGGAAGGAGATGGAATTATTTATATACTCAGAAAAAATGTCATAGTTGATTGGTTGTATGTTCTCCTTCACTACATCATTTTGTATGCGTACAAATTCGTCGATAATACTTTTCATTTTCTTCTTGTCAATTTTGTTCACATTGTATGCCCAGGCAGTGGACCCCGTCCCACTTGTAATCAGCAGAGCGGTACTCTTTAGCTTCTTCACTATCTTATTGTCTATATTTATGTACGTGCAGATATTATTCTTCACTGCCTCGTATATATATACCTCGTTAATGCTTCTGTATGTTTTTCCTTCTTCCTCGTTGCACTTTTTTATGTACACCGTGATGTACTTCCTATTCACCTTCCGATGCTTGTTCGTCTCGAAGAAGCACTTCAGCATGTTCTTGGCGTACTCCTCCGCGCTGATGATGAGATTATCTGAGCGCTCTCGCTCTGTGGCGAGCAGGGCGCTGAACGGGTTGTTGCAGGGTTGCATGTGGGGTGGGTGGGCAGCATAGCCAGGATGGGCAGCATCACCAGCTTCATTGCTTTTGCTCAGCTGGACCGCTTCGGCCGCCTCCACCGCTTCCCCCTTCTCTGTGGCACTGGTTTGCTCATTTATGTCGACACCCTCATAGGACAAACTGTTATTCTGCACGATCCACTCCATCGTGTTGACATCTTTGAAAGGCGATTCTTCCATTTGATGTTTATCAGAATGATCACTCCTCATCACCCTGTTGGCCTTTTCCTCTCTCTCTTTGAGATTCCTGATAAAATTGGACACATCCGTGAAGATGAAATTTTTTTTTTTTTTTTTTTTTATAAATTTCCTCGAATTCTTCAAATGATTCATAAGTGTAGTTTATTTCGTTTTCAGGATCTGCATGGAAGTATTCCAGACAGAGTTTCCCTTCAGATCTCCTGGGGTCGCTGTTGATCCCGACCAGCTCGATGTGTTTCTTCGTCCCTCCAGAGTTCTCCTCGACGATGTATTTGTTCGCGATTATGTGCGCGGATTCCAGGTATGTTCCGTCTCCGCCTTGGTAGGGAAAAATGGAAATGAAGGGGGGCGGATTAATCATGCGTTGTGTGTACAGGGAAGGCAAATTCGGAATGCACATGTGATGTGTGCACCCACGTGGAGCACATCAATATGGAGACGGAGGGTACACATTCACGTGGAGCATATCAATATGCAGACGCAAGCGGCGCACACCCTACCCACGCTGAAAATCGCATCCGGAGAAAAAATACTAGAGCTGCTGATGCAGATGTTGTCAATGTTCCGCTTATACGCCTTAAGTATCGACACGTGAGATCTGTACTTTGTCCTCAGAATATTAATCACGTTGTTCATTATAAGAGTATGCGTAAAGTGAGAAATATAGACAGAAAAAAAATTGCGCAGAATATAATCGTCTTTAAATCCTTGCTTTCTTAGATTGTCATACTTGGTGTACTTTTCGATTAACAAAATTCGATTATATTTTTTTTTTAAAATAACTTCACCTGAGGGGTCGCCGCATGTGCTGGGCGGCGTGGGGCTGGAGGCGGGCTCCCCCATACAGTTGGGAGCACCGGGTTCCGTTTCTCCAGAACGATTAGCAGCGCATACGGGGCTCACATGCTTAATGCTGCTCACGTCGCTTCTTCCGCCCCCCGCGGAGTATCCACTTATGGCGATTTTTTTACAACTCATGTGCGGATTCGTCATCATCTTCCTCCACTTTGCAACGCACAAGTTATTCGTTTTGCAGACCTTCCCGACGCTTATATGTTTGGGAAGGTATGACATGGCACAGTTTTATTATCGTTCCATTTGACCCCTCTGTACGGAGCGGCATCTACGATAGTATCTCCGACGCCAGCAGTTTCATTTGTTACACGGTGTAGGTAAATATGTGCACATAGGTATATATCTATGTATATATGTATACATATGTGTGTTTTCAGGGCGCCCTCCTGATGGGATGTGCCGATTGACTCGCTGCTATCGACGTGTGAGATAAAGCCACTTCTACTACCTCGGGGAAGTGGTGACCCCTTTGGAGGCTGTTCAGGGGGAATGCTTATATAGAGGTGATAAATTCATGAGAAGATTTTTTTTCTCTTTTTTTTGTGCCTTTTGGAGTGACGCTGCTCATGGGTAGTAAAAAACCGGTGTGGGTCCTACGGCGTTCGATATGTATTATGGGCGACCCCAGCTCGTTCCTTCCTTCGTCTGTTTTTTTTTTTTTTTTTTTTTTTTTTTTTTTTTTTTTTCCTTCGCTTCCCTTATTTATACATTCTGCAAAAAATCAGACTTGTTTAAACTCTCGGCCTACTGTCCCTGTTTGATGCCTTTACCGCAGGCCTCCTCATTTTTTCGTTCGCCAAATTCCTTCGTTGGTCCTCTTTCAGGATTGCTAATTTTATCGTATCACTTTTGGGGGTTCTTGACATTCCCTCGTCGGCATAATTTATTGCCAATCAATCTATGTACCCTTTTTATGTTGTCTATGGTTCATTTTTTTTTTTTCTTTTTTTTTTCCTAACTTGTTTAAATTCAGCAGTTCCGTGGATGAGAGAACAGCACACCAGAAGCGGCACGCATAAGGGAGCAGTAATTAATTTTGCGCCCCGGATAGAAAATATGCCCTACGTTGCCTTCTTTCTTTTTTTTTTTTTTTGAGAAATGTTTTTCCCCTTGAGGGGAACATCCCGCGCGCAGTGGGGTTTCCTCCCCCAGTGGTTAAGCAGAACGGGCGGTAGGCATTCGTATATACCAATTTATGTACATGTATATGTATATATTTTTTTTCTTTTTTAATTTCTCACCCTGTGTGGCACAAATGCGTGTAGTAAATTTGCCTATTCGGAATAGGCATGCCCTCTGCCTAGGAGCGCGCCAATTGTGTTGCCCTTCCACAGGACCATTCCGATATGAAAATTTACGCATATAGTGCTGTACACCCTTTGCTTTTTTGCTTCACCTTCGTTATAACAACCCTTGGGGGGGGAATACAGAACGGGCAACTCCTTCTGCAGAGCCCTTTTCGTTTGTGTGGGAAGACATATCTAAATTTGACGCATCGTCCGCCCCTTTTCAGTTCACTCCCAAAAATAAATGTTGCTTTTTTTTCTTATATCCCCGTTTATCGCCATTCTTTGGGAGACAAACTGTGTGCACGTTGGACTGCATGTCTGCTTCACATCCGTTTGGTTTCTTCCCGCGGGGCGACAACATCATCACGATTGGGCGATTGCACTTGTACGCGGTTGTCATGCTAGTTGCGGTTTCGTAGGTCACGCAAATGAACAAAAAAAAAAAACACATACACAGAATGGCGAAATAACAAAATGAGCCGCACACCAAATTTTTATTTCTTGCGCAGTGTTGCCAGAAGCGATGAAGGCAAATTAACCTTCACAATTTTGTCCTCGTGCTTAAACAGCATTATTTGCAAACCGGGCTCCAGGTACTCCTCTGAAATGCCAAAAATGTTCATGGGTATTTCTATATCTTCATAATTTTCATCCAAACAGACGACTATGTTTTTTTGCTTATCCGTGTACTGTACCTGCACGTTCGTTTTGACCGGTTCAATTTTTTCCACCTTTGCCTGGCAAGCGAATTTGACTGAGGAGCTTTTTAACGTGCTCAGGTCGATGAAGGAGATCTGCGGGGGGAAGGGAAACGAACAGGGTAGACGAAGCGAATGGAGCGAAGCGAAGCAAGGAAAGGTCTCTCAATGGTTAAGCGCGCTGCATGGACGGGCAAAACATCCCTGCGCACAGTTACATATGCGTTGTGCTTATCATGTCTGGAGGTACACATTTGTGGATGCGCATTGTGGGAACTTCACGCTGTTTGTGCTCTGCCTCACCCACCCCCTGTAGCTTTACCATGTTCGTCGTGGCCAATCGGCCCTGCTTGACCTGCCTCTGTTCAGTCACCTCGCAATATTTGTCATTGTGGAGGAATATGTGCCCACTCCTCAACTCGTTCGCTAGCACCGACACGTATCTTTTGGCTTGTAAAAATGTGTTGCCATCTAACATGCACGCCCTGCGTAGCAGGTGGCTGCTTAGCTGGCTGGCCTGCATGGCGCGCCTAAATGGGGAACACGCGGTGTGATAAATTATGTTACGGTTTGTAGGACTTCCCCGTCAGCGCAGTTCGGCAGCGCGATTAATAAAAAGGTTTCCTCGCTCGAGTGGCACCTTTTACGTTTACCTTTATTTTTATCGTTATCCCAAGTGAGGGCCGCCTTACCAAATGGGGACCTAACCAAGGTGGAAAATTTCACCTCAACAGTTCATAACAATTTTGTGATAACTCCAATAGGCTCTTTCTGAGAAAGAGTTTTTTCTTCTCGACGGATGATTCGCTCGTATGTTATGCACAGGAAAAAAGTACGGAATGCGAAACGAGCCAACTTGGTAACCGATCAGGTAATCGCTAGGCTGTTTATTTTTATTTTCTTTTTTTTTTCCCCGTGTATGTATCCCCACTTAGATACTCTCCAGGATTATTTCTCCAAAAGGCATAGTTCCACACCCCGCTGCTATACATGTACGCTCATCGGGGCTACCAAATTGCGGAACAGCGCCACCATTTCGTTCCACCGCCATTATACAGAGTAAATTTATTTACCGCGAATGGACCCCCTAAGTGGAGGTCTCCCAGATAGTCAGATATCCCGTTAACCAGTAAAAAGCACATTCAAATGAGAAAATTAAAAAATAACAGGCTAACGTTCACACATATGGGGAATCGCTTCGGGCGGCCCGTCAGACCACCATTGACGAGGTGCCTGCTCCTGACGTGAGCGGAAAGAGTGTACAAATGTGTGAAAGAAAAAAAAAAAAAAAATAAAAAAAAAAAAAATAAATAAAAAAATACAAAATGGCTAGCTATACAGGGAGGACAAAAAAACGTAAATGTTCCAGAACGAGTGAATAAGCATAGTGACGAGAATGTTGTCAGTGTAGATATAAATGTAGGACCATAAGAAGGACAGGAAAAACAGAGGAAGTAAGTTAAAGATGTTCAAATGGTGAATTGCGAAAAATAGGGAAGAAAACGTAACGGCGTAATGTATATGCATGAACAAATTCAAACTCTTGAGGACAAAAAAACGATAAATAAATTCCTCAAAAAAAGGCGCACTAAAACAGGGACTAATAATGCACAGCAGAGTTGAAACAAACTCTCTTCCGCTAACAATGTCGTCTATGCTGTTGTCCACGTACGCCTCGTCTTGTGCCTCCCCCATGAAACGATTTATTATAAAATTGTTCAGCAAATCTACTATGTTAAATACGAAGTGGGAAAAGACGTACCCGTAGATTACCTGAAAGCACCAGCTGTCCCTGTGGCGCAAATTCAAATTGCTTTCATTGTTTACGAAGTAGGGGTAAAGCAGATTCTTAAACACGACGATGCTGCACGCTACCCATATGAAGTGCCCGGTCAGGATCTGCGGGAGGGAGCGGAAGAAGCGTATACGTGTGCACCGCGAAGCGGCAAAAGTGTATAGGTGTGCAGAGCGAAGAGGTACATGTTTAAAGGTGGACACGGGGTAGCGCCCACCCAGGTGTTTCACAAAGGATGCAACTGTTCCTTTCCCATTAGGCATGACCCGACGAAGGCAGACTATTTACGTTAGTCGCGCCTCCACACGGTTAGCATCCCAACCTGTAGCGACTTCACCACGTTATCCGAGAGGGGGCGACTGAACAGTTTCCAGAGCGTCAAAATCCGCTCCGTGTATATGGACACGTAGCCTACGGGGCGAGACAGGCGAAAAAAAAATGAGCAGGTGGAAAAACAGAAAAGGGAAGAGCTCTCAGCAGTGTCGCACGAAGAGATGTCACCCTTGGGTGCAACCGTGCAGTATGCAGAGTTCATCCAATTGGGGGAACTTCTCCAAGGCGGTGCACTCGTCGCGCCACTTACCCGACAAGACGTAGGACGCAATCAAGAAGAAGCTGATCGAGAGGATGTTTTTCCTCTTATGCTCCTGTAGCTTTATGGTGAACCGATTCAACTGTAGCCTCTCCTTGAAGCTGTGAAAGTGACCCTTGAAACGTTTGAAAAAAAATATGGACATTAAGAAAAAGAGCGTGTTGTTCATGTCCAGGCTCATCAAAATGTTGGAATGGTTTGGAATTAACTGATAGGGAAATAAAATCAGGAAGTGACGAGATAGCATATAAAAGTGGAGAAGAAAAAATGAAACCGAAATGGCTAGCTGGCTAGCTAACGAATTTGACAATAAATTATCCTGAATGGTGATTAGTCCACTTCTTATTAATTCGAATGTCTTCCTCAATCGCGTACAATTGCGATGGTAAAATTCGCGTAGTGTATTCTTTGCTCCATTCTGTTCTACATCAATGGAAGGTTTTCCCTCCCCATGGTCTGATGAATGGACTCGAAATTTTTTAAGCTTAAAAAGTTGCCTCCTCAATAGAAATGCACTGGACTTAACTTCCTTCCTGTTCGCTACTCCTCCCCATTGAGATTTCACTATTATGTTTTTATTTACGTTGAAGCACGGGACGTACAACTGCAGAATTAGGCCAATGCAGAAAAGAGGAAGCATCATCTTTCGCCTGTTAACATTTTCGTTGCGTGTGTGTCTGTGGGCGGGGGCGTCTCTTCGATTCGTCTCTTCATTTTGGGCCGCTCCTCGGGGGGGCTCCACCCGTTGGTTCGAATCCGTTCGATAGCGTTGCTTCGGTAGAGTTTCTTCGGTAGCGTTCCTTCGTTAGCGTTCTTTTGATAGCGTTCCTTCGGTAGCGTTCCTTCGTTAGCGTTCCTTCGGTAGCGTTCTTTTGATAGCGTTCCTTGGTCTGGCCCCCTTCGCCGTAGTCCCTTGATGGTAGCCCCTTGGTTGGATCCCCCCGGTCGGAGTCCCTTGCTATGTATCCACTAATTTTGGCACCCCTTAACCAGCTCACCCCCTCCTGCAGCTCCAATTAGCTGATTCCTTTTTTCCCCGATTGGTTCTCCCCGAACGAGAACAGAACTAGTTGCCGCTTAGCTATGATGGCCGAGTGAGGGACGTTTTTTTTTCTCTCGGTATTTCTCTACCGGAAGAGGGTGCAACTAGCGCAATGGTGAAATTTGGGAAAAAGGGGGTTGGCTCCTCTGGCCTGAACAGTGCAGGTGAATTGGAAAAAAAGTCCCACTGTGAAACGCGTCGTATGAACACCATTTTGTGCAGCTCCAGGGGTCTCCAAACTTGGTCAGCAGTGCGGATGTGCAAAAAAGGATCCTCTAAGTAATGAACAATGCTTCGCAGGGAGCGACGTAATCTGCCACGCCACAGCCGTGGGGTGTACAGGCAAAAGCGCAGACTTGTGAGAAAAAAAAAAAAAAATCGACCAAAAATTTTGCCCCAGTTTTGACTCCAACCGGTTAGAAATGCACTGGAGAAGCCTCCTCAATTTTTTTTCTCACCTGTCGAATCAGTGACCTCTTTCTTGCTTGCAAATTTAAGATGTGAGTTTCGGACTAGAAAATAAAGCAACTCCACTGATCACGTACAAGTATAGCCCCTCCAATCTGACACTCCCGAGAGCCACATTCGACATAGCTTGACACAACGGAGAGCTACCTCCCTCGCACGAAAGAGCATTATACCTGTCCATGGATTTTTCCCACCGATACAGAGTAACCTCTCCGCCGCTTCACCCGAATGGATCAGCACATCGTCTTGAAAGAGATAAGAGAAAGCAAGAACAACTGCGAGGCGTTCTTTGAGCGGCACTTTAGGGGGCTCCTACCACATGGGAGAGGGGTCGGACATGATGAGGGGCACACTACAGAAGAATCGAAGGAATTAGAAAAAAGAGTGCACTCTTTGAGGGAAGCGGTGAAAGTGGAGAAGGAATACATAGATGGGGAAATAAACACCGAGGCGGAAAAGTACAGGGAGATGGTGATCGAAATGAGGACACATATTGACGGTATGCAGCTCGAAATGGGGAAACTATTCAGTAACATAGACGTGGCAGATCGGAAGGTGACTGCGGGGGAGAGTCAGCTGGATGGGGGTGTACAAACCGGGGGGGATAATAATTACAAAAGTGCTACCCCGTTCCGTAGCGATAGGGGTAGCAGTGGGAAGGTAGACCTCAGCCGCCACTGTGGAGAAGGCCCCCATGAGGAAGCGCACAAAACGGACGAGACGGACGAAACGGACGAAGCGAACGAAATGGATGAAGCGCACAAAACGGAGGAAGCGAACGAACTGGAGAGCCTCCTCAGAAAAAGCATCGACGCGAAGAGCAGACTGGAGAATATCAAAAGAGGACTGCTCTTCCTGAAGGCATTCCCATCCTTAAAAAAAACCATGAACGAATTATTCTTAATCGTAAAAAATGTGCAGCTCGATATAAAAGAAAAGATACACAAGGCAATCATTTTACACTCCAATATGCTCTACATAAATGAGCATGAAGAGATTATTTCTTATTTTAAAATATATTTATCTTCCATCGATGTGTGTATATATAGTGCCGAATTTTTTGAAGAATTTTTTGCCCTGCTAAACAGCATCCTGTCATTTTTTCTAACTGATACTTCTTCCCAAGTCGACTTAAACAGAATAGTACACATTTATGTCCAGACATTCCGCACTTACTTAAAATTTATTCACATGTATGTCTACAGGGAGGGGTACATCATTGAGGAGATTACAAAAAAGATTGTTCACTTTATCGTGTCAAATTTTCGGAAGACTTTTTTGAAATTCACCCAATCCGAGTCGGGGACAGCTGTGCACAATGCGGTCATAAACTACTATGAGTACTTCACGACGTTAATTGAGGAGAACCAAGCGGCCATGCGACGCGTCGTTCGGCAGCTCTGTGAGGAGGTTTCAGCAGTTAGCGAGGTAGGCGGTGAAGGTGGCAAACGCGGCCAACAGGGCCATCTGGACCACCACGAACAATCCTTCCTGGTGCGGCTCTACAAGGAGGCCATCCAGGTCGTGGGCCCAATGATAGCCGAGCAGACAAAGCAACTGCGCGACGAAAAGTCTGGGGCGAGCAAACGGAAAGGGGCAGCAACGCACAGAATTATGGACGCGCTCAGCGTCAGCGTGAACATACTCTCCAACTCGCCGTTCCTCATCGGAGAAAAAAACATGTTAAGTAGAATACTAAACGAGGCGATTTTCATGAGCGACGATGTTATGGCAGAACATGTAGCATACCTCAGTGACGCATCCCATTTTGACATGCATTGCTTCGAAGAGATAAACACAAAAGTGAGCACATTCGACCGAAATGACCTCATGACGGAGAATAAGCTTCACACTTTTTTTACCCAATTGGAACAGGACATCACCAAAATAATTGAAAAAAAAAAAAAAGAAATAAATACAAAGGAGATATTCAATTCGCCTTTCTTCAAATTTCTCCCATTTTTTTCATTCACGTTTAATCACGACACGGAATTTCTTCTCCTCTTCATTAATGTGTACAATTTTGTGTATGAAATTATTTACAACATGAAAGATCAAATACGAAGGAAGGAGAAAAATGAAAAAAGAAAAAGGATAAGCTTCCCACGCATCCCTCATGATGATGATCAGTCTCGCTACCTCTGCATCAAAGAGGAGTTGGACTCCTCCAATGAACTCATCCAGTACGTCAAAACGGCCATGACGATTTTTATTCAGATCGTCAACACGTTTGTTAATATTACCAAATTGTATGAATCCTTTGGGAAGTTCCTTTTTGAGAGAACGCATGTCCACTTTACGAGCAGAAGTCTGCTGAACGTCATTTCCAGGAATTACCTGAACAGACAGGGCAAGTACCCTGCCGGGGTTGACCCCAACATTGAGCACATCCACGCCTATTTCGAGAAAGGAGTCTTTCCAAGGAGAGTTCCTTTGAAAGGCGGCGACGCCAGAGAGTCCACTGTGGCGGGAGGGCGGCGTCAAAGGGGGGCAGCAGAGCAGCACAGAACATGGTCAGCGGAGGAATACACATCTCCAGAAGCGCAGCACACAACAGCGGCAACAGAGCAGGAAGCTTTCGCCCCAGGTGATGAACAACCCCACCGTAAGATCCAGGTCGAGGTCGACGCGGAGGAAGAGCTGCTCCACCTGGACGAGCACGAGTGCGGGAAACATCTGCTGAAGTCATCCCTGGGAAAATTAAACGACATAAAAAATACCATTATAAAAAATGTCATTCATTTGGCGTTAATCCCACTGTACGATTACACAAATAAGTACACCGCCAAGATGGATGCCCTCCTGAAGGAAGACAAAGTGGAGACGTCTGACCCGGAGGAAAACATCTGTTTCATCGTAGAAACGATATTCCTGTACATTCACACATTCCATGAGCACGGGAGTCAATACTTAACGGATCTTCTATTCGACCAAATTGCAGACATGTTTCTCTCCTCCGTAGGTAGTATGTCCCACCTGAATGAAACTCTCCTCCGGCAGCTGCAGGCAGACACAGAATATTTCTTAAACGTTTGCAAACGATTGAAAGTGAGGAATTACAAACCTTTTCTTTTGTTCAGCTGCTCGCTTTCTTTTGTTCTCACGCGAGGGAACCGAGAGGGAAACCTCGACAATGCTTCAAATCTGCGCGTCGAGGTGCAAGCCTACCTCAGCGACTGGGTGAAGCGGGAGGGGCAGGAAGAGGAGCAACAGGAGAAGCAGCAGGAGCAGCAGCAGGGAAGCGTCCACCCTTTTGGCATAACGACTGATGACGCTGTCACTGCGGAGGCGCATGTCACGCGGCTCCTGTCCCGCCTGCAGTGAGAGAAGGGGGGCTCCCTCTCAGGTTCAGTCATTAAGCCTCTTCTTTGCCGTGATCACGCCGGTGTTTGTGTTTTTCCCCTTTGCAGCTTCGCCTCACTTCACATGGCATCATTTTTTTTTTTTTTTTTTACGTAACAACGAAGCCATGTGAGGCATTCCTCGATTTTTCCGGCGCCCTCACTTTGCCGCGTTCCCGCGTCCCCGCGAGTCGATTTTAATTTTGCCCCTTCCCCATTTCGGAGTTGCCCTTTTTTTGCATCGCGCCCGTTTTGCTTTAACCCATTTTTGTGGGCGTGTAGAAAAGAAACCGGTTAGAAGTGAGCATTATGATGAGGAAAAGGAAAAAAAAAAAACATACTAACGCAATGATGTAAGGCTGCGATCCAGAGGAGGCCATCCGCGTGAACTGTGCCCACTTTATTACGCCACGTTTGCCCCAAGTTTTGGGAGAGGGCTCATTCTGGAGGTGGGTGGGGGGCACTACTTACTGAGCCTCCCTTCTTTTCAGGGAAGCCTTGCAGAGGTCCATTCGGATTGACTCATCCAAGGCGATCGCACACGCACGATGCAAGGGTCCCCACGAGATGTGAACCGCTCCTCTTATCAGCACTCCTCTTATCAGCACTCCTCTTATCAGCACTCCCCTTATCACCACTCCCAACATGACACCATTTTGTCAATCCGGGAGAGCCATGCTACAGTGGCGAGTTCACAGGAGCAAAAACCCAGTTTTTCATTTTTGCAAAAAAGATGAAACATGTGCAAAACGTGCAACTGATCCTCCTGTTGTGCATTCTTACGCTTCTACTTAGCCAAAACAGAAGTGGCGTCAATAACGTGGGGGTGAAAAAGCGCAGATCGGATTTTGCCCCACACGGGAGTAGAACTGGACGGGAAAGAGGAAGAGCCAAGTCTAAGTGGTCAGAGAAAAAGACGCTGTTTCTGTACCTCCCAAATCGGAACCCGTGGAAAAAAAACGTACGAAGCACACGTGAATGGGAAGACAGACTGAGGGGAAGAGACTTGGACAGGGGGAGCAAGACGAAGCAACTTTTTTTCGAGAGGAACGGAATAAACGTCCCACAAGATGTTGCCATGTTTGGAAAGACCAATGTATACTATGTGAGGGAGAGCGTGTACGATCGGGGCAAAAATAATTTAGTGCCAAATGAGGTGCACTCTGAGGATATTGAGGAGTTAGAAGAGGAGAAGGATGTCATGGGGGAGAGAAATGACAACGGCGCAGTGGATGGGGGAGACAGGGGCGACGAGGAAGCCACCTTGGTGGACTCGAAAAATGCGATGGACGCGGATGGGTGCAGAGTGGGAGGAGGCGAAAAGGGAAAGGCCCAAATGGGAGGGACCCAAACGGCAGAGGCTGAGACGGGCCCCCCCGGCGCCAAACAAAACGTCTTCCAATACATCAATCAGGAGCGAGACTACATCGCGCGAGTGGGGAACTCGCCCAAGGTGGATGTCTACGAACGGAGGTACAGAGCAGACGAGCAAACGCTGCAACGCATGTTCGAAAATATCAATGAAGTGAACATACAGCTGCTTAAAGACGTCAAGAGCATAGACGAGAAGGAAAAACTCATAAATAAGAGGGTGATACAAAAAGTGAGGGAAGACATTAAAAGGTACCAGGAAACGGACGAAATTATGGACATCCATGGGAATATTGTCCGCCCGTCTGAGGCTTCTCCCTCCAGAATTAGCGGCAGAGGAAAAGGGAAGGATGACGGGAAACAGAAAAATGACCTGGATGCAGACATGGACGAAGAGGAAAAAAATGAAGTCATCAAAAAGATGTACATGCTTGAGAAGAAGACGGATAAATATTTAGAAGAAAATATCTACCTGGTAATACAGACGTGGTTGCCCGACATGCGAATCGACGACACGCTCATCATAATCGACAACGTAGAGAAATTTTACAACAATTTTGACATAAATACATATCATGAAAAATTCAAAGAAGCAAAGGAGAAAAATTTTACTTACGACTTGGATTCTCACATAATTGAAAATGTCCCAAATGATATCAATGATGATCCGCAAGCGGAGTGTGAACAGATCAACTCGTATAACAGTACGTACAACAAATTAAACAATTACAATTTGAAGAGGTACACTTATACATACACGACGAATGACAATATGGATACAAAATTTACGAAGAATGAGCCGATGCCTCCTGTTGTTATAATTAATACGAAGAAAAATTTGATGATCCAAGAATGGGAATGCAAAAATTTCAAAAATAGGCAGAAAAGAAACAAATCTCGAGAATATACGAGAATCCAGAGGGCATTTCGACCCTTTTCCTATGTTGACCTCAGTGATATAACATGCATTTATAGAAATAATTTTCTCCAATTGAAAATGAAAATGTCCCATCGGAAATATAAAGATGATGTGTACCCCTTTTTTGTTCCCATTAATAAAACCCCGGATGAATTGCTCGATTTCCAGGGATATAAAAAAAATGGCGATTACGCTTGGTCCTTTTTTTGGCACCATTTTAAATATGACCAGGACACGGACTACGGCTTCCTCAACAGAAACGTAAAACTCAACTTGACGGAGACGAAATTTGAAAACGTCAACAAGAAGAAGTGCAAGAAGATTATGCGAAAAATTTTGAAAGAAACCAAGGGGGTTTAAGTGGAGGGGCGCTTAGGAGAGTGGCCGCTTGGGACGACCTCCCAGCCTTCTCGTGGATGTCCATTACTTAGTTTTCCCTAACATTTGACGAAACGGACCACCATAAGACGCGCGCATCAGCATGCTTATATACGTGCACCCTTGGTGAACTTCGCATGGTTTCGCAGAGACCCAGTCTGACGCGTTCATTTGTCAAACCGTTCCTTACTCTTCTCACAAATGAATCGATGAGCGGCCCCCCTCCTGCTGCTAGACGTCTCGTCCCCCGCCGTGTCACAACCCTGCGACGTCGCAAAATTCGCGGTGCAATTTAAAGAGACTGTCTCATTCAGGGACAGATTGCGCGCGCTTCAAATGTACGCGTGAGCGACGGCATCCGTGCGAAGTATGGTAGAAGTTAAGCTACTACGCTCTGCCAAAACGGCTCACCAATCCATAGTATGTCAGTGTAATGTTGCCTTATATTTACTTTTTTACCCAACTTGACAATTTCCGCTTCACCAAAATGTGCAAGGTGGACGCTGTTAAAATGTGTGTACAGTTTGTTGACCCCTTACGAAGGGGAGGTTCTCTTTTCTTACCCGTTAGTCCTCGCGGCTATGTTAACTGCACAATCGTTAACTACTGCTCACCGTAGCCAAAAGAATGCGGCGAAACAGGACAATTCCATCGTCCAGCCATTAATCTTTCACACTCGCTTCGTCCATGCGATAAAACGTAAAATGCTGTTACTGACCAGCGGGGAATTTACATAAGTGAATATATGTCCACCACCCCACAAGAGTATACTGACATGTAACAGCCAAAAACATGCCATTATGCATGTGTTAGTAAAAAAAAAAAAAAAATTCCACCAAGCGGATCTCTTCTTATGAACAGGTCAGGCAAAAAAAAAAAAAAAAATCGAACATTTCAATTTCTCTTCAGTGTGGCTATTATACACACTACAGAAGCGAAGTAATCGGTTAACTCTGCGTTAGGTGGAGAAAACCAATTTTGAATAATAAAAGGGGGCAACAACAAAAAAAGGAAAAGATAGAAGTAAAAAGGGGGAATGTTCAATCAATGGCATAAAAGTTGCCAACAAATGGAACAGACGCACAAAACAGGTGTAGAAGAAAAAGAAAAAAAAAAAGGACTAGCTCTTTTTTTTTCTGGCGCAAAAAAAAAGGCAGCCAAAAAAAAAAAAAGAAAAAAAAAAAGGACTAGCTCTTTTTTTTTCTGGCGCAAAAAAAAAGGCAGCCACAGAGTTGTGAAAGGTTGCAAAAATTTTGTCACAAATTAGCCAAAATTTAAATCACAAGATTGGCCACAAAGTGATCAAAAAGTGACCACAACGTTATCGTAAAAGAATCACGAAATAATTAAAAATAATCAAAATTTACACGAAAGAGCAGAAAAGAACAACAAAAGATCAATCGTAAATAACACAGAGTTGAACTGGTTAACCAAAATTAACCAAATTGAACAAATTAAGAGAAGTGACCAGAGTGACCAAATTAACCAAATTGACCCCCAAACAACAATCCCACATGTGCACAAAATTCGTCCTTTAAATAAAAAAAAAAAAGTGTCAGAGAAGAGAATAATTATGTACAAAATCTTCTGTGAAATGAAAATAAAAAAAAGAAATTAAGAACCCTCCCATACCACGTGTACTGCTCCCAATGTTTTGATTTCATAAAAACACCTTCCTTGCGCAAATTCATGTGTTAACTAACATGCTAACATCTTAAAGTGAGACGTACTCTGCGGCGACGCCTTTCACATATAAGCATGTGCGTTCGCTGATGTGTTTAGGCTTTTGTACCTTTACACAGGCGTGCACACATGGGCCTGTACACGTGGGCCTATACACATGTGCGAATATACACGCCCACGTATATTGATAGATATCTACGCCGCTGTGTAATCCAGAATTTCACCCACGGGCCTTGGGCAATCGCCTTTAAACAGCAGCAGAGGGAGACGGCCAAACCAAGAGAGCGAGCGGAACGAGCCACTGGTTAGCAGGAAAGCGGCGACGATTGCAGAGCCAGCAACAGAAGCATGATCCTGCACTTGTGCAGAGCAAACAAAACCATTTTTACGATGCCCGCATCTGTCACATTGCACCTACCATTCTCCAATTGAGTGCAAAGAATATTTTAAAATTTTCCTTTTTTTTTTTTCAAGGCAAGGAGAATCCACCCCAGCTATAAAGAATCGCCTCAAACACACCTCCGTGCCTTTTGTATAATCCGTTCACAAGTACAGTTGCTTATCTTGTTGACAATGATGCTGTGTGCAAATATTATTAACATATGTTCATAGAGAAAAAATTAAAAAAAAAGCAACACGAAGCAGACTTCTTCTGAGACCATTTGAAACAGAATTAATCTGTTTTTATAACTTACCTGTGATGTATGTCCTTGAATAATGCGTCCTCATACCACATATCTGCATGTTGACTTTTCTTCTCAGAAATGGGTTGCGCACAGTCTAAGGCGGACGAACCGAAGGGTCCCAGCAAAAGTATGGGCAAGAAGAAGTCAGAGAAAGATGAATATGAAGGGCGTCAGGGCAAGGGACCCTCTGTTCCCGATTCGAACGGAGGTTAGCGAGTGTTATAAAAAAAAAAAAAAAAAAAAGCGGAGCGAAGTGCACGTCAGCACGTGTAAAGAAGTGGCAAATTGTGTTGGTCCATAGGACTCCATGTTACCTACATGTGGCAAAAAAGGAGCGTCCCGTTGTGCATTTTTTTTTTTCTTTTTTTTTTCCATTAATTTTGTTACTTTGCCACAAATAGGACATACAATGATACAATGATCAAGTAGCGCAATGCGTATCCGCCTATCTGCGTATTTGCGGGTTCCTGTCCCGTCTTCACCATTTTCGCTTTTTCCACACCACGTTTCCATTTTCCCCCCTTCCACTCCTCAGACAGGCGCAAGCAGCTTGATGTTAAACCGCCACCCGTGAAGGCCATCCCCAAAGTTACTCCAAAAGGCATAGCAAGAAGGGGCAATTAAATTTTAACGCATCAAAATTAGTAAATGTATTTTAAATATTTGTCTTTTTTATGCTTTTTATAATTATCCAATGTTCAATTTTGAAGGGTCACACTGCCGAAGAGAGGAAAAAAAAGAAAAAAAAAAAAAAGAAAAAAATCGAGCTTCTATTCTACACGCCTGAACAAAAGTTGCGTGACGCTGCACGGGGAGCGTTGTGAGTGTGCAAGCGATGGGGTGTAGCACACACACATACATTGATTTTCCTTGCCAGTGGGGGAAGAAAGAAATCTTCTGCTCCTTTCGAAGTTTAAAATGATGATATTTGTAGAAAGATATCGCCCCCCTTTCAAGATCCTCTTCCTTCTCAAATGTGCAACATTTTAAAACGTAGCTTCTTTCTTTAATTGGATTTTTTTTTGTTTGTTTTTTTTTTTTCTCCTCACTATATGTATCATACCAGTTAGTATAACCACTGCCACACTGGCGTGGTAACTTACATGCCCAAGCACATGCTTGTGTCATTTTTTTCTCACAACATTTTCTTCTGTTTTGTTTTGTTTTTTTTTTTTTGTATTGCTACTCCTGCATGTCGTCGCAAATGCTAACCCATTTGATTGCACGCTTATTCGAGTGAACATCGTGTTCACGTTTTTTTTTTTTTTGTAAATTGACGGGAATCCCATTTCACAAAGACAAAATGGTACATGCTCGTGGAGGAAGTTAACAAAAGCTTTAAGCGTTTAATATTTCTGTTGTGAAAAAACTCGCCACTGGGGGAAGAAATTTCTCAAAAAGGCCCCCTTTCCGTGTGTGCATACGAAGACAGCCGGTGTGTATGTGGGCACCTTCTACAGATCCGAGCTCCCCAGCCGCGAACCAGGTGAGCCAAAGTTCACCAGTTGCAAATTTAGCATGCTAAATGTTCTTCCCACGAGGGACAGGTATGTCTGCATAATGAGTACTTCCAAAATTCGATTAAAAATGAGCGTTTCCATTTTGCCTGACTGTTCAGGTAAACTTCTCCCTTCGCGTAGGTCAAGCAGGCCGCTGTTCTTGATGAGAAGAAACAGTTCCGCCTGGGTGATTTTATTCATGAGGTGTGTCACCTCGTCTTTGTCGCCTGCCACTTTATCGATGATGTTTTCCGTTGGGTTCTGCGCTTCTGCTGGTGCCCCCTCGACCTGTTCCTCTACCTCAGTCTCTCTCTTTACCTTCGTCTTCTCCTCTATCTTCGCCTTCCCCTTCCTCAAACCATTTAACATGCTCAAAAAATTATGAACGCTGCTACTTCCCAGATGGGGGATAAACTTCTTCACAAAGCTACTCTGGAGTAGCGGCTGCATCTTCTGAGACAGCGTAAACAGGAAGGAGCACAATCTGTCCACGCTGTACGTGCGAGTCACTTCCTCCGTGACATTGTTAAAACGAATAATGTGTAACATCAATTTTTTTAAATTATTTTCAATCAGTACATTTTTTCTCTTCCCCAGAAGGGAGGAGAAATGGCCTTTTTTTTCTTTCCCCAAAATGGAAGACACTTGATTGTAGCAATTATGTATGAAAAGATACTCTACGTGAGGAGTGTTCAGGATGTTGTTTATGACTTGTCTTTTATAATTTTTTACAGCCAAGTAGGAATAAATAACAGAAGAAAGAAGGAAGCTTTCTCTGTGTGTCTTCTCCATGTGTATTTTCTTCAAATATGTGTGTTCATTTTTTTCATGGCCACTCGGATTAGCCAACTGGACATTTTGCAGCATGTCCTTAACGGAAATATTTTTTTCACAGAGATCTTTTGTTTTCATTTTTCTGTTTTCTGAGTTGAGGACGAAACCATAATTCAGACATACACATTCAACGTGATCGAGGAGAATATGTGCAAACTTTGCGATGGAAAAAATCTGCATAAAATGCTTCCTTTGATTTTCGTCAACCACGTAGATTATTTTGTTTGCCTTCTCATATACCACTCGATAGTGTATTGCGGCTAAGTCAATGGCCGCGTAAGTGAAGGACACATCGTTTTGGAGCGTCAGTAAAGTGAAGTTTTTCTTCAATTCGTCTACGTCGTTCCTCCTGACGTGCTCCAAAAGTTCGGGCGTCACCTGCATCACGTCGTAGTGGTCCTCCCTGCTGCTCAGTATGTGGGTCTCTTTCCTCCGGCTTGGAGTGCAGCCACCGCTAAGGGGGTTGCCGCTAACTGGGTCTCCCCTAACTGGGTCTCCGCTAACTGAGTCTCCGCTAACTGAGTCTCCGCTAACTGAGTCTCCGCTAACTGAGTCTCCGCTAACTGGGTTTCTGCTAACCGGGTTACTCCTCAGCAGAAGGCAGGACTTTCCGCCCAGATGAAAAACCACATTGGCGTCTTCGAGTCTCCGCAATATGATCGGCACAAACTTGAGGTAGAAGCTCTCCCCCTTGTCTTTCAATTTCCTGATTTTCAGTTTATCCAAAATTTCTTTGTTCGCCTGGGGAGGGGAGAACAAGGAAAGAAGGGCAAATGGACAGGGCAGAATATGTACCAAGCTGAGCGATGCAGTAGTACGGAGAAAGAAAAAGAGGCTGCTCATAGTAGTAAGGAAGCAGTATAGCTCTCCCGTCAGCCGTCCAACGAAGCTACTTTCTTACCCGCTTGCTACTCCTGCAAATGTTATCCCACAAGGAAATAATCTTCTCATCCTTCTGATACATCATGCGTAAGGTACTTCTACTGATCCGTCTGAAAACATCCGACGAGGTAAAAAGCTTCTTCCCCATTTTGTAGGCAAATTCTATGTTACCCAAATCGATATCTTCCCATTTGGAGGGGTCCAATTGTTGATAACGTTTATCGAAGTTTTCCTCTTTCAATTTGCTCAGCATCTTTATGTACATTTCTTCCTCCAAGAGGTTTTCCGATTGTTCTTTTACTCCACCTTGTGTAGAATCTGCCCTCAGGGGGGGCTCCACACCTGTGTGTTTATCCACCTGACCGCTGTCTACACATGGCGTAGTATCCCCTTGGTACGATTCCGCCTTGTCATGTTTAGCACTTCCACCGATTCGAGGCACTTTTCTTTCATTTGACTTTCCCATCGATACTACCTCGTGGGGAAACATAACAACAAAACTTAATACTATTGCCAGATTCATATTCCAGTCGCCTATATGGCTTCTACATTTCACATCATAATTCAAGGAACGGAAAATATTGCTGAGTGCGCTTCCGAGGAGGAGCGACTTCAGATGTCCCATGTGCATGTTCTTCGCCATGTTCACTCCGCAGAAGTCCAGCAGGACCGTGCCCTTCCCTCCGATTTGGCGATTCTCCTTTTCGGGGGTGTAATTACTTCTGTAACCCCCCACTGGAGCTGTCCCCATGTGAGCTCCTGCATCCTTACAAAACCGCAAAAATTCGCGCATCACGAAGGGATCGCCAACCCGGATGTTGAGTATCCCATTGGGGGATAAATGCAGTGAGTCGATTAACTCTCCACCTGTTCTTCTAAAAATCCGAAGCACCTCACTGCGAACATCTTTTCCCTGCCCTAAAGAATGCTCCAAAAATAAAATCACACTTGACTGGTATTCATAGTCGTCGAAAATTTTGTTGTCTTCCACGAGGCAGTGCTTGGGCAGGTTCACATTTTCGTCTTGCAGGATCTGTTTTGCGACATTTTGCAGCTGCTTATTTAGGATGGTGTGGAGGTCTTCACGTGGGGTGTGCACTTCTTCACCTGGACAGTGCACCTCTTCACCAGGGGCGTGTCCTCTGCATCGCTTCGTGTGTGTTCTATTTGCCGCCCTCTTTCGGAGGATCCATCTTATTGGCTGAGGACCCCTAACGTAGGCGGTCCTTCCCCTTACGTTGGGAAGAACAGCGTTCCAAAGATGCTCATAATTTATGGCAGCTCTGCTCAGCTGGTAGCATCTCAGGCAAGATCGGAACAGAAGTATTAGAAACGCGGCTCTGACCATTATCCATTATTTTCGGGGGAAGCGCACAAGACCCCGCGGCGATTTGCGCGCAGGGCACCAAGATTTGTACCTTCCTAATTGCAACATAGGTCAGGTTACGTGCCATTCTTTCACCTTTCGACTCGTTAGAAAAAAAAAAAGAAAAGGTTGTTCCTCCCCACATCCGGAGTTCGCCATAGAGGAATGCCAAGAAAAGGAAAAAAAAATGGACGTTTTTTAAAGGGTGCCAGATGAACTGCGGCAAAGCTCAGAGGAAGGGAAAAACCACAACTCGGTTAGAACGGTGCCTGTCAGTGGAGGCAGCAGATCTGAGAGCAAAAAAGTAAAGAAGCCACCGAACAAGTATCAAAAATGAACCCTTTCGTGAGAATAATTTGAAGATGTTTTTATTGAATGCAGCCAATTCGTACGAAGGTATGTACTTCCGCATGTAGGCCGTTTCCGCACCGTTGCGAATTTACGGCGCGAGGGTGAAAGTAGATCTTACGAGGATATCTTACGAGGAGATGTTACGAGGAGGGCCTCCAGTGCTCCGCGCCTTCTCTCCCCAATTTGAAAAACAGAAGGGGTCACCTTCCAGCAAGACGCGCGGCGACTGTAGCGTCCTTCGTTCCATCCCTGACGTTGTAGCGGCGGTGAAGTGGCAGTGAAGCGGCTTCGTATCGGCTTCGTATCCGATTTGTAGCGACTACTGCTCCTTTCCATTGTGCGGACTCACATTCAGAGAGGAAGTCTACTTTTATTAGGTCTCGCCCTCGGTTGCAGTGGCAGGGAAGCGGACCCCCCCGACCCCCCCCCCCCTGCCGCAGAAAGACGGAACCGTAGAATGCGCCTGCATGGGATTCTCCCCCTGATACTAATCAAGTTTGCATACTCATTTAAAGTGATGAAAATAGTTATTCCGAATACGAGCGGATTGAATGTTGTGGATAAGAACTTCGAGCCAAAGTACTTTATGAAAAATAAGTTACGTTTTGTTAGTCCATATGTCTACACATATAAGCTGTACACGAAGAAACGATGGATAGGGAAAAAAATTGCAGATGTGTTGACCTCCGAATTTTGCGCTTACGATTTAAGCTACATTAAGGAATCTATAAAAAAAGGGTACATAAAGGTAAATCAGGAAAATGTGTCCTGTGATTACCTCCTGAGAAGCAACGATCTCATCCAACATAAACTTCTCCTCTTCGAGAAGCCAGTCATATGTAATAAAATATTAATCTTTTACGAAGATCAGAATTTTATCTGCGTGTATAAGTCTGCCAGTTTGCCTACCCACCCGGTCGGCTTCTACCAGTATAACTCCCTGCTGCGAATTTTGCAGAACTATATCAACTCGACTTTACGAAGGGGACCACTCTCTGGGGGGGACGACTCCGGGGAGACAAACAGGACAGAAGACGGCCAGGAAGAACAGAACGACGGGGACGTCATCAGAATCAGCTTCAATTTTAAAGAAGCCACTTTTAAGGACATTCCTGGGGCGGCATCCCCTTCTCCTCAGGAAGAACCCGAGCGGGAGAAGAAGCGAAACGAGGGAGATAACGAAGGAGAGAAGAAGGGAGACAGCGAGGGAAACAATGAGGGAAACAATGAGGGACACCTGGGGAAGAGCCAAATAGGAGGACACGCTGCTGAGCAGCGCGCAGATCTCCCAGAAAACGCGAAGAAGAGAAAACAAAGAGAAACTCTTCTAGATGATAACTACTGCCTGAACAAGTCAGGTCAATATCGTAAAAAAGTAATCACTACTTTAAAAGGCGAAAATGCGAATGCAGATGATTATCTTACCAACCAGAGGGATTTAAACGAGGGGAAGAGCAAAATTGAGGTGTTAAACGAGGCCGTACTCTCCCTGAGCGAAGTCGGAAGCGTGCCAGGAGGTAGCAGCCGCTCCGCTGAAGAGGGAAACAGGCAGAATGAAGAAAAAACAAATGCAGACAACACGGCAATACCACCCGTACCGCCCATATCAGAGAACGCGCAACGCCGGGGCAAATACGTCAAGTTCAGGAGCAACGAAAGCAAAGACAAACAGGAAAAGGACGACTCCTATATTTACACACTACACAGACTAGACAAACTCACTTCAGGCATTGTCCTGTTTGGGAAGAATAAAGACTTCTCCACCTTCTTCTCACAGAACATCTCAAATAATAGCATAAAAAAGTCCTACATTACGAGAGTGGAGGGAGATTTCCGTACCCTCATTAGGACACTCATGGCTGAGAAAAAGGTTATTGACGACAGGGATAACAAAATTTTGAACGAGTTAGTAGAAGAGTACTGCTCTGTTGGTAAGGACGATTCGCCCCTTCCATTCAACGACGGCAACTCGTTTAAAAACGACATTTTCCTGCACAGAAATAGGTATTGCGAGGAGGGCGCCATCAGAGGAGAGGGCGATATGGAGGCCCTAACCCGCATTGTGCGCGAAAAGAGGGACTACCTGCGGGATGAGTTCGACGTGGAGAAATTCGAATTGGGAGGTGCCGAAGCGGGAGGCGTCGGCAACGCAGAGGGAAGAAGCGGAGATAGCAGCGGCGGAGATAGCAATCGCACCGATAGAAGCCGCGATGACAGCCACTGCGCCGGTAGCAACCGCGGCTCTGAGGAGGACGAATCCCTCCGACAACACTTCGTCGTCGACTTCGGATACATGTACTGCGAAAATAAGAAGCTGCTTAAGTACGTCTTTACAAAGTACTCACAGAAGAACCGCCAAATCGCGGAGGAGTACTGCCTGAAACCAAGCATCACTCGATTTATGTTCCTGGCATACAACCCCGAATTGAGAGAGTCACTCGTCTTGTGTCAACCTGTAACGGGAAGAACCCATCAGATAAGGGCCCACCTGAAGAGCCTGTCCTTCCCAATATCGAACGACCCCCAGTATAACGACAACTTCGCGAAGGAGTATATGGACAAATCAGTATATTTACACTTCCACGAGGGGGAGCAGTCGGGGGAAGGTGTCGCGCCCATGCAGGACCCACATGGGACAGAAATGGGCTCATGTCATGAGGTAAGCTCTGCACCGACGGCCAAATCAAATCCGGAAAAGAAAGACAACCTCGAAAAATACACCCACTTCCCTCTCATCCCATTCCTAAACACCTCCTTCCATTGGCTCTATGACGAAAAGATCGATTTGAACGACAAATACAACGAAGCAGATTTGAATAACTACTTTTTTAAACAAATTAGCAACATCACGTATCACAGCTCGGGAATATTTCTGCACTCCTTTCGATACACATGGGAAAATGTGTTTGATGTTTTTACTCTTCTTCCAAAGTGGTGTTCTTTGTTTTCCCTTCCCAAGGGATTACTCACCTTTTTGCTATACGGTTCCCTATCGTAGGAATTTTTCTATTTTTTTCACAAAGGTGTAGATCACCCCTTGCTGAGTCTTTACACCTCTTCTGCGCACTGAGAACTGCCTTCCCCCAATTGAGAAACATCCGGCACATCGGGAAGAGGGACATTTATTAACGTTGACACGACCGGGCGGAAAAGTATCTTCATAATAACCCCGCAGGTGTGTTGAAGCGCCAGGGGGATTTTTCAAAGCGGTTCAAAAGTATCGGTAAATGTGCAGTTGGCAAGGCGGCAAATCGGAAAGTCCACAAATCGGCACCTGGGAAAATCACCAGACCGCCAAAGGGGAAAGATTCACGAATGAGTGACGGTTTCAAAAAATATGAATATGTCAGGTAATGTTTAGTCCCATCCGATTCGCAAAAAGAAAAAATTTAATAACAACAGGGGCACATACACATGCGCGGCTTCTATTGGATGCCAAAAAAAGCGCGTCGATCCGTGTGGCGCCATCGGAGCGTGCATTCGAAATTTAAAACAGGCACAACAACACGTTGAAGAGGTGTGCCATGACACGATTGTTGAAAAAGGGACAAACCATCGGAGGGGGAAAATCATAATCGTCACAGCGAAATGATAATCAGGGCCGCGGTTACCCGAACAATCGCACATCGCTACCGCTTCCACCGCGTCACCTCAAGGTGTGCCGAATCAGCCCCCGGGACACGTAGACCCGGTCTCCCGCGCCACTTGTCAGCTCGTCGGACGAGTACCCCCGCTTGGTGTCCATGTCGTGACACAGAAATAGCGAACTGTTGTCCGAGAAGCTGGTAAAGCTCTGCCTATTTTTGCTGAATCGTCTTTTGCCTGAGCTTGGTCCGCACTCCTTCCCCCTCCTCCCTTTTCTGTTCCTCCCAGCGGTGTCATTCGATTGGGAAATCTGTGAAGTCTTCCGCGGATGGTGCATTACTACTCCGCTTCGTTCGTCAGAAGGGAGGTAGTACCCCTCGTCTTCAGAGATCGTCCTGCCTTCCCCCTCTGGAGTGATCACCTCGTTATCGTTAGGAAATTCCCCCGCCCCCTGGGCAACGATACACTTGACGCTGTCCACCAACTTCCTATTCTTCTCATGCAGGTAGGCTATCTCCTCCCTCATCTTTTTCATTTTTCTTTTATCCTGCTTAATTTTATCCTGGGCACTGGTTAGCAGCTGTTCTTTCTTCTTGCATTCCTCTTTCAATTCGCGCACATGTTTCTCATTGGAACTCTCCTTGGATATTCTCTTCTCCAGCTCTTTCGTTAACAACTCGAGGATCTCCGCGAGGTATTTTATGTCACAATTCGTTCTTGTGATCTTTTCTAAGACAACTTTTTTGAAATTATCAAATGCCATGTCTTTCCTAATGAGACAGATTTCTTCCTGCAATTTATTTCTTTCCTTCTTCTCTATCACCACGGTATCCATCAGTTCCTGCAGCTCTATGTTTAGCATCTTCATCTTGGATTCGTTTTCCAGTTCGGAATTCCTCCTCTCACTATCCTTCTTTTCTATGACGGAGAGATTTTCCGTGATGGTACTCTTCAAGCCTTTATTCACTTCCCTCTCTTTGTTCAGCTTCACTTCCGCTATCTCTAACTCATTCTTCAGGTTGGTAACCTTCTTCCTCAGTTGATTCTTTACTAGTAAAAATTTCTTCTCCTTTTTGTAGAATTCTTTTTCTCTTTGTATGAATTTCTCTTTCTCTTCCCTGAGAAAATCTGCTAATGGAGCTTCTCCATTTTTTATATCTTGTTGCAATTTTTCCAGTTCATTTTTGTAGAAATTTTTGTCTCTCTCCAGTTGGCTCTGCTTGTCTAGCATGTGGATATACAGTCCGCGTAGTCGATTCGTTTCTACAAACTCCATATTGTAAGACGCTGCCTCACCATCGGAAGTAGCCCCATGGTGATTCGCCCCCTCGGAATTAACCCCCTCGTTGGCCACCATACCTTTCATTCTTCTCCTCTTCATGTCGTCTATTATTCTCGTCAGCTCGTACTTCTTCCTGAAATTTTCCTCCCTCAAGTTTTTTAAATTCTCTTCCAGCAGATTGATTCGTTTACGCGCCTCCTTCGTTGTACGTTCCTTCCTTCGCCGCGGCACAAGCTGGTTCTCTCCTGGCGATACACCATCGACAACCTCATCGCGAGGCCCACCCTTGGTGGTACTCCTGAAATGGAGACTCCTCACAAGTTCGCTATCCCCGATGTGTAACTTTTGCACGCCGCATATCTTTCCCCCTCTCCTCAAAAATGAAAAATGCACCAACTGTTTCGGTGTTCTCTCTTCCGGTGCAGCGGCATCCATCCTACCAACCACTCCATCGGTATCCTCATAAATGACCTCAAAATCGTAGGCACGATTGGACGAGTTTGCTCCGTCCTTTTTAACTTCAAAACTGCCATGCCCCTTTCTGTTTATTCTGATGAGGTACTTTTTTCTCCCCATCTGTCTGCCCAATTCGCTTCTTTCCCTCCCAGGACCTCTCGATGCAGACGCGTCCGAAGAAGATGAGGAGGAGGAGCAGCCGGAGGAGATTGAGTCAAACGAACCCGATTGATGACGTCCTTCCCATGCCTCAACATTCGATTGATTGCCCCCCTTCCTTGTGCACACATTTTTTCCACTCTTATTTATCGAGGGGGGGATCGGTTTAACTGAAATTTTGGGGCTACCTTTTTCGATATGCTCCTTCAGCACTGCCACGTTTGTATGTTTACTCTCCAGATGGACTGATGATTCTTCAAGGCAGAATTTCCTCAAAATGGAAATTTCACTCTTTTCATTTCTCCTGCTTCCCGTGGATATGTCCGCTGCTCCTTCGTCCATCTTCCTATCACGGTCAAAGAGGAACGACGTGACAACCCCATTCGTGTTGCTAAAACATTTTCTCATCAAATTGAACTTTTGCATGGAGGAATCGCCCTGATTATTTCTTCCCCTGCACTTTTGCTGTTTTTTTAAAAACGGACTTGTGAGAGAGGCACTCTTTGGAAGGAGTTTTTCCTCCGTGTGCGATTTGCAAGTTAAGGGGCTTCCCTTTTCGGAGATGTGTGCATCTAGTGAGGGGCTTTTAGCAGGCCTCTTTCCCCTCAGTGTACCATCGGCGTGCACATCGGATGACCCGCTTGCTTCCTCCAAATCGGTGACCAGCTCGCGGCTGGAGTTTATCCCTGCCCCCGCCGATGTCGCGGTGGAACAGCGGTCTCCTCGCGCAGCATTGCCATCACCATCATTATCCTCATCATGCTCCTCCTCATCATCGTTATTATTATCACCACCATTGTCACTCGCTTTGCCCAACCGAAACTTAGCCCCCTCCTCACTGTTCCGCATCCTGCTGAACAAATGTCCTGTCCCCCCGAGGATCGAACTCTTCAACTGAAACATCAAGTCAGAAAATACGTCTTGCGATTTGTCGTCACTCAACTTTTCTACCTCACTTATCTGCAGCAGACGCAGCATATCCTCCAGTGCGCTTCTCTTCTGGCACAAATCTTTCAAACGTTCGGCTGCACTGTTTTCTTTCCTTGTTTCCGCCTTGTCTATGCCCTCCATAACACTTGCAATTCCGTCATTTCTGCTCATCACATGAGAGTAATAACCACCGGAAGGTGCATTGCCTTCTCTTTTATCCAACAAAAACATTACGTATTTTGTCAAGAAGCCACTTAATTGCTTTAACTTCTGTTCCTTGGTTATGTCTGTTTTTCTTTTCACCAGATCGGAACAGTGCTTGTTCTTACTCAGGCTTAACTCATTTTGTAAAAATAGAATGTCGTCATTCAGTGCCACCATTTCGTTAGTCAGCTGGGTTCTGGCATTGTGCACTAGGGAGAGTAATAATTCCCTCGTCATTTTTTTGTAAATGTCGGAAAGAAACGGCCACGAGTGCAGTTTAGTGAAACGAACTGCAAAAGGGGTGAGGTGGAGAAAGCAGTCCTCCTCCAGTACACACTGCCTCGGTTAGATTCTACCCACATTAATATCTGTGCCGCATGGAGGGGCATTTCATTCCCCGCTGACAGAACCAAAGTGCTATAATATGAGTTAAGAAGAAAAGTGCATAAAGAAAGTGGACTTCATTTCTGGTCTCCTATCAACGCTGAGAAGTTGACACGCTTACCCTTGGATCGCCGCGATTCTAACAGGACATACTCCGAATTGAAGTAAAATAAATTACAATTCGTGAAAATTCGGCAAATGTGATGCACATGAATTAATTGGTCATCTTGAAATGGGCAATGATGGCAACGCACCTAGAAGGTACACATCTCGTTTATATTTACTACACGGGGGCGTTTAAACTTCCTATTTGCGCCAGGAAATGTTGCGCGGTAAAAAAAGTCAGTAAGTCAAATAAATTAAACAGATATTCGCAGAAATTGGTAAGCAAGATTTCCGCGAGTTAGTTTATCAGCGAAATTGCGATTAACAAAACTGCTAAATTATAAGCAGTTAATGGATAAGATATAGGCTTTCATTTGTGCGGGCAAATGGTGACATTTTCCCCCCAAGTGTACTACACACGGGGAGTTACATGTCGCGTTGGTGAATCACGTGCGGTGAAAAAAAGGAAATGGCACAAAATGAACGTTTTTTTTTTTTTCTTTTTTTTTTTTTTTTTTTTTTTTTATTGGGACAAGGTCAATGTTACGAAAACAATGTAGGGGTGTAATACTAACCGCTGCTGGGGGCGGCAAAGCAATGTTAAGTGAAACTGTTCGGAATTGTAAGCATTTTTGCAGGGTGAGTAGGGCCTATATTTATGAATGTTCACGTTGTGTTCAAAAAAAATTGGGCAAGATTAATTTTTTTGCGCATTCATTCTTTTCGTGCATTTCCTTCTAACGAATTGTGCCTTTCCGCTTTCTTTTTTTCTCACAACACGAGGGCGAAAGCAGTTGTTAAAGTTAAAGGGCCGGTGAGCACCAGCGTGTGCGCGCATGTCTTAATTGTGCAAACGAATTAGCATGTAAATGCGGGAACTTCCATTTCGGAAAAAAGGGCAACTTTCATTTTTCGCGCCTTTGTAGAGCGCATATTTGACGCGAATGTATGTCATAGCCTTGGTTTAATTCGCGGCAAAGTCGAACGAAGCCGCAAATTATGAAAATTGCGCGAAATAAACCAAGAGAACACAGAAATAGGAGAACAGTTCAGCGAAATTTGCCTGCAAAGGACGCTTGTATTTGTGACAAAAATGGCTAGTGGTTAAAAGAAGAATTTTTTTTTTTTTTTTTTTAAAACTTGGGCTAAAGCCATTAAAAAACTGATTCTTTTTTATGAACAATTCAGAAAAATTAAATCAAAATCCATATGTTGCATTTTTCCGTGTAATGAATTTCCAAATGGCTCATAAAGAAGCACCAAAAAGGTTGGCACATATGGTTTTGCCAATTTGGCTAGTTTTTTTTTTTTTTTCCACTTTTCTGAAGAATGTGTATAAATTGGGGCCTTTTCATCTGAACGGTGCAGGTAAATGGTAAGTGTGCGACAAATACACAAAACGTCAGCTTGGGTTATCCCACTGCAAACGCGAAAAGGTTAAAAGGAGAAAGAAAAAATATTTACACAAGCGTGAGTTACGTAAACTTCCATTCCGCATCCAGGCTGCGTTTGAAACGCTTGGAGGGGGCGGCCTTTTCTCGCCAAAAATGCCATTTGGTTATAAATGACCGTTGCAAATTTCACAATGACGTCTACCCACGAGGAGGGTTTTTATAAAAAAGACGGCACTGTACTGACAATCAACGTTCTCAAGTGATGGGTAGCCAAAACTTCGCAAAAAAGGGGACACGAAAAAAGAAATATATGCTCTCTCTATATTAAAAAACAATTTTACTTGAATTAATGAAAAGTTAAATGATGACTTTTTTGCATGATGAAGTTTTAATAAATATTCTCTGTTCTCATTTTATTCCATTCTCTCTTTGGAATAAAATGAACTATATGAAAATAACCAAAGTGAGAAAAAAAAAGTTATACAAAAAATTAATGCCAAACTGGGGAAGACGGATGCAGGAAAAAAAAAGGAAAAAAAAAAAAGAGCAAAGCAAATTTTTATTAAAGTTTAAGTATTTAAAATAGGATAAAATCACTAAACAAACATAAAGGAAAAATAACAAAAAGAGCATAACAAGGGTTATGTTTTTACTTCTTTTTTTTTTTTTTTTAAAAAAACAAAAATTAAAACATGACAAGGATAGTATGCGCATGATTATCATCAGGCAGACCACAACATAGGGAGTGCCTATCAAACGGATGACTTCCCAAGGGATGATCATCATGCAAATTTCTATAATGCGGAGGACCGCCATGAAGGTGCAAGTAGTAGCTGCTGTTCTTCTTGTTCTTCCTGTTATTCTTCCTGTTCTTGTTATGTCTGATGTTGCTGCTTTGCTTCTGCTACTTCTGTTGAGGCGGCGGCTGAAGTTATTATCATTGTCGTATTGCTGTCGTTGTCACTGGAACAATATATCGGGTAAGAGATGGCATTAAAGACGCTCATGACCGAATATAACGGACTGGAAAATCGGGCACGCGCGCCGGGTGGCCAAAAACTACTGTCTTCTCTTAATTTGATAAAATTATTTTTCTTCACTTCGACACTTTTCCTTCATTAAATACTTGGTAGCTATGTTCCCAAGGGAGGCTTGAAAAAACTCCAATTTTATACGTAGCGATCCTGGCCAGTCGTTATAGTCATCTATATCTTGGGGCGCCTTGGGGTTGTACTTCTTCATATTCTGGAACATGATTCTGGACACTTCGTCATGGAAAACGTTTATGCGTTCTTCCTCTGTCATGTTCGGGAATTTCTTTTTGTCGGGTGGGTAAACCTTGGGAAGCCAGTACGTTTTGAGAGACATGCTTTGATACTGCGGGGGGAGGAAACACGGGGGTGAAATGGGCGGCTTAATTAAGCGGATAAGATGAGCGGATAGAAAGCAGCGCTATTGCACACCGCTATGGAACACCGCTATGGAACACCGCTATGAGACACTACTGCGATGCACTGCTAGAATGCGGCGCCGGAAGGGCACTCACATTGGATGCAATCAGAATGAGCCACCAGGTGAAGGGCAAAATGTCGTAGGCCGGGTTAAAAAAGTCGTAGTCGTAGACCAGCAAAACGGGGGTGACAGGGAGGAGGGAAGAAAAAGCCCCTTTTTTCTGCTCAATTAATTGCATCCCATTGGATGTTGTTCCCTCCGAAAATATAACAAAAGATGGGAAATTATTTTTTTTCTCTTCTACCATCCGCTGTCTTTCCTTGATGCTTTCCAGGGCGATTTTTCTATCCTCTGATTTTTCTCTGTACACGAATACACACCTTAAGGCTGTAACACTAAGTCCAACAAATACGTCCTTGCGCAGGGATTTTTTGGCAACAAAACTGCATGCACATTCACTTATAAAATAAAAGGTGTCCAGGACAGACACGTGATTCGCAACGATATTTTTTGGCCAGTCCATATCACACAGGTAATGACTTTCTAATTCATTAACTCCGAAGAGCCATAAGGCCACTCGGCATATAAACTGGAGAAATTTTACGTAAATTCTTAAGATTACGCTTTCTTGGTGTTGTTTGCTCTCCCCCATGAATAATGAGCACAGGACTGAGGGGGGGGGGGGAGGGAAGATAGATGAAAAAGGGGGTATTATGTCCAGACTGCCACAACAGTGTAACACTTCCGCTGAGCTGCGGCTTACGTGCCCATTTTATCCTCTCGTGAATACTTACAACAACAGAGAATGTTGGCCGTGGCTATGATGAAGTAGGATATTATTTTCCAGGGGGCCTATTCGCGAAGGGGAAATCAAATTGGATGTGCACGTGTATGTGTGATTGCGCAATGTTGTACTGCGAGTGAATTGGGGCGTTTTTTTTTTTTTTATTTTATTATTTTATTTTTTTTTGGCATATATTTCCGTAGTGCTTCTTCCGACGCGCCGAGCATTACCATAAACATCGCGCCATAGAGTAGCTTAATAAAGCTCATGTTGATCAAGTCCAACCTCTCCATGGAGACGTAGGGGTGCAGATTCTTCTTGTTGGCATAATTCTTACATGACTGTATTTCTTCAACAGGATAATTTTTCAAATCGAACGTCTTCAAATTACAAAAAACAGCAGTGGCATAAATTGTGAGCAGACTAACATAACAAGTGGCCAGACAAAAATAGATATGATACATGTCCCATGTCCATTTTGGATAAAAGACTTTAAGAATGAATAGTTTTAAATGAAGCGCAAAAAAAATGTATGCCACAATGTGATACGCAAGTTTTTTTATCATTTTTTTCTCCCCCTTGCCGTTTTCGTTGTTATTTCCTCCTTGGTTGTTGTGGTTGTTGCCTTTTTCGCCGTGCTGGCGCCCGACCTCTATGTCTATGTCTTCCACTGTAGTCGTTCGCTCAGATGACGCGTGAACTTTGGCTGGGTCCACCTTTTCCCGCTTGACTTTGGCGGGATTCACTTTGGAGGGATTCACTTTGGAGGGATTCACTTTGGAGGGATTCACTTTGGAGGGATTCACTTTGGAGGAGTTCACTTCGGCGGGATCCTCCTTCACAGGATTATCCTTCACAGGATTATCCTTCACTGGATTCACCTTGACAAATTTCTGGATGACCGCTTCGTTCTCTTCCACCACTGCTATTGGGCCTTTTTGCGATCGCGCAGTGGGATGGAGAGTATAACCAAAGTGGGGAATATCTTCTCGCACACAAGTTCGTAGCCGCATGTGGACTTTGCGTAGGAACACTCCCGCGGGTTATATGTTGCGGGAAAAAATGGGTGAAGTTGAGTTGGATACTTTTCCCCTTGGTGTTGATAATTCTCATATGTGCTACGTCGTGGCAGAGGTACGCGCAGCGAAGTTACAGCCCTGTTCGGACGAACGCTTTTATGCATATGTAGACGCGCGGGTTGTCATACGAGGTCGTCGTGCAGGGAATGCACATGTGCCGCTGTAATATATCCCCTGGGGAAAATATCAAATCTTAAACCATGTGAGAGGAAAAAAAAAAAAAAAAAGCAAGCGAGCAAGCAAACAAACAAACAAAAAACAAACGTGCAACTAAAAAGGGGCAAAATGCTGGCAAAAATGGGCAACAAAGACACCGCGGAACGGAAAAAAAAAAAGGCAAAACCAATCTTGCGACTTTCCCCTCTTTTACTGTTACAACGCGTTATTAAGTGTCATTATGCATCGCAAGGCCATAGATGTAGCACAGCATGATATGATACAGTACAGCATAGGACAGTACAGCGCAGCACAACACATCACATCACTGCATAGTACGATAAAATATAACATAGTGAGGCATAATACAATCCCGCAAAGTATAGTGTAGCCTCGTATAATGCGGCATGATATACTATGACATGCGTCGATGGCGTTGTCAACCTATTCGTCATGCCTCGTTAACATTTGCTCGATGGCGAACTACCGGGAAACTGTTCCGCTTTGCTGATGACGCGTTTATCGTATGACGTATCATACTCTACAGGTGAAAAACTTCTGCAGATTTTCATAAAATTGGCATTTCACACAAGGTGGATGTAATACATATATATATATAATACAATATATATACAATACATATAATACAATATATATACAATACATATAATACAATATATATACAATACATATAATACAATATATATCAATATATATATAATATATCGAACAATATATATACAATATTATATACATCAGAATAGCGCGCGAAAAAGAAAAAAAAAAAAACAGCGCAATGGGAACGCAAAACTTTCGTGGAAACGCGAGAAAATTATTAGATAATGGGGGGAAAATAATTTTTCTAAGTAATCGAAAATGCATCACAGAAAATAAAAGGAAACAAATCTTAGTTGTAAAAAGAAAATAAAAATAAATTAAAATATAAGGAAAAAAAAAGGAAAATATGGAAGGAAAAAAAAAAAACATAAGTCACCGCATTCTTTTCTATTCTCTCGGACAGCTATCTGCACAGTCCCTCCATAAAACAAAATTATTCTCACCTAACGGTGGTGGAGTGTTCCACTGAGTTCGTAGCACATATCATAAATATATGCGTCATACGGTTCTATCATAAAGAACCTTAGGGCGCATTTTATTTGTTAAGCGCATATACATAATATATATGACACATCGGCGCAATGGGTTATATACCAGTTGGGGTTTCTTTTCGTATTGCATACGGTACATTTTTTTTTCCTTTACAGCGCATCCCCACCGCCATCACAAGTTGTAGCCTAACGGTCAGTCTCTCGCCTTTTTATTTTATTATTTTCTTTTTCATTTCTATATTATTTCTCCCTTTTGCCTAACGTGGGAAAATCTGTTTGGAAAAATGTTGCCACATTGGCGCAAAATTTGCAATTTTTTTTTTTTCTTTTTAGCTAGAAAGGGAAACTGCAGGGAGCGAGTATAAAAACAACGTATTCGTTCCATCGCAAACGTGTCCATCCGTTTTACCACTATTGTGTCCGCAGAATAGGCGCATTTGAATTTTTCCCATGTGGAAAGCAACGTGAAATTTATCCCAAGCAAGGGACAACGGGGGGTAGCCAAATCTGTAACGTCCCCGAGTTTGTTGCATGTTAAACTTACCTTCCCTTCAAAAGGAAGAAAGGAGGATTTTTTTTTATTATTTTTCTTATTTTACGGCTCAGAAAGGTTATCCTATTGTTTATACCAACATAGCACATGCCAGCGCAGCGTGATGACTTGAATTGGCGTCTTCACCTCTTTGTGGAAAAGCACCAGTCAAAGGAGAGGACTAACTGCACGTGTATATGCGGCGTTCCCTGGGTAATACCCATCTACTTGGGTTTCACTGGGGCTTTGCTTGGGTTTCACTGGGGATTTACTGGGGCTTTACTGGGGCTTTACTGGGGCTTTACTGCGGTTTCATTGCGAAATGGCTACCCATTGCCCAAACCCCAAGAGACAGGCCCGGACTGGCAAGAAAGGGAGATGCATTTCGACGGGGGAGAACTTAGAAGAGGGACGTTTCGCTGCGCCGTCACATTTTCACCCCCCAGAGAGGGTTATTTCTGCACATATTCCATTCTGTACGTAAAAATTTTTAGGAAGAAAAGTTGGATAACGGATTGAGGGGACAAACAAACACACGGCCGTACGTCATATAGTCATGGGTGTTTATGCAGACGGTCACGGAAAGGTCCACCTTAATAGGTAATATGGCCCCTCTCGTGACACGCACGTGGTTTGGGTTAAATAAAGTGCAAAATTAAAATGGGTAGAAAAGATTTACAAAAAAAAAGAGAACTTCATCAGTAGTGCACATTTTCCATTTTAAACGGTCGGAGCGGCCATCGCGTTATGCGACCACCCCTCCAGAAATAAAGAGAAAAAGAAAAAAAAAAAAAAAAAAAATTAACACGAAAGAGAAACGTGCGCTTCTTCGCTTCTGCAATGTAGAGCGCGCTTTTCAATGCTAATGGGACAGTCGGAAAAATCCCTTGCCACGTCTCCATCTGATACATCCTTCCCTCTGCCTGCCTCTTTTTTCAGTCAAACTGGACGCCCTGCGAAAAGACCTCCTTCAGGTTGAACTCCGCCACGTACATGAGCTTGCTGGGGGAGACCTTCCTAATCTGCGAAAGGGAGAAAAAAAAAAGGGGGGTCATGCAGGTGGGTGGTGCAAAGAGTAGCCCATCATACCGATGTGTGGTGCAAAGGATAGCTGATCATGCAGGTGGGTGGTGCAAAGAATAACTTCTGATGCAGCTGTGTGGTGCAAAGAATATCTGATCATTCCGCTGTGTGGTGCAGAGCAGAACTTGGGCCCACTTCGACCAGCGCACCTCCGTAATCTTCATCTCGCGAGGGAGGCCCCTGAGCTGCATCCGTATGTTTCTCTCAGCGTGCTCGTAAAAGAGTTCAGGCTTGGAAAAGAAGTAGCAGTGTATAAAGATGTTCCTCATTTGGTCTCGCCGGCATCTTCCCTGGGGATCCTTCTGATCGGTGCTGTATAGATGAAGAAGTTCCCGAAAGACATCCAAAAATTCGAAGGCTGTTTGCGGCAAATTCATGAGCACATGGACATCTCCGTAGAGGCTGAGGTTAATGTCCACTTTGTGCGTTTCGTTTGTTGGTGCCTCTTCTATGGTCTTTTCCTCATCCTTTTTGGTTCTCTCTGGGTGGACTTCCTCCCCTGTGTGAGTATCTGCTAACCCCACGGGGCGTCGTTCCCCTAATGGGCCATTTGCATCACCATGTGTGTGTTTCTTTTTCTCGTCATGGGCGGCGTCGGCGGGGGGGGTGTCATTCACGTGGCAATCTGGATCACTTCCCCGGTTCTTCCTCTTTCCGGAATCAGCATGGTTATCATCCGCAGAGTTCACAAAATCGAGCGAGATGTTTCTCCAATTCTGCTCACTTAGTTCCATTGTCAAAGTGGATGTGTTACATGAGAAGATGTCCAACCGAAGCAGCATCTGGACAAACGTCCTGGCGTCCAAGTTGTACGTAAGGATACTCTTCCGTTTATTCAGTTTAATATTAACATTCATAAAATTATAAGCATGCAGATTAATATCGTTAGAAAAACAGAGGCAGTTTTTTTTACTGAGGTGTAGACTGAATATTCCCACCCCAGCAAAGAGGTCCACTATTATGGAGTTCTTCTCAACAAGGTCATATATTCGATCTCTCTCTTTTTTTAATTTCGAATTCCAATAGATTAATTCATAATTAAGCTTTACTTTGATATCATTTTCTTTCAGCATGGTCAGGTAGTTTTTTTCTCCTGCCAATAACTCTATATTGAATGTCCTATGGACATTATTTAGAGGATCCTTTTTATTGATAACGGATCGTATGCTTTTATTTTTATCCAGGATTATTTCTGCAATTATTTTTTTATGATTTTCGAATCGTTCGCAGAAATTTATGTGAGCTATGTGTCCGACCATTTCATACTTGTGGATGACTTCACTCTCCGAGGGGAAGACCTTCCTCAATATTTCCGACGTATTCATGTTTTCGTAACCAAACTGCAGCTGAATGATTCGCACTTGGATGCCTTCTCTTTTTATAACTCGGAAGAGTTTGTCCAGGGGGGGTGAGAGCGCATCCTTAGGGCCCCTCGGGGTTTCCCCTTCGCCCTCCGAAGCAGCGCCATCGGCAGCATTGTCCTCCTCAGCAACGCCGTCCTGCTCATCCCCCTCTTCCGGGCGCATGTCGACTCCCTCTACGACGTCCTTCCCTTCGCGTTGCATCAACTCCTGCAGGGCTCTGTTGAACCGCGCGTTCAGTGGAATTAGCCTGTAGTCCGCTACTGATGAGTCTGCTAGAGAAGCATCTGTCTGAGAGTCGTTCGTATGGTTCGTCATCTGGCGGGTCATTTGGCAGGTCATCTGTTCTTTCACCTGGTTGGACAATTTATCGCTCACTTGGTCGGGCAGTTGACCGCACATCTTTCCGTTCGCCTTGGCGCTGACCTGGTCGCCTCCCCCCCCAAGCCTCTCCACGTATGAATGAATAAAGCGGAGGACTTCCCCGTCATAGTGCCCCGCCTCGATGAGGCACCCCTGGTACTCCCTGGGCTTCAGCACAGAAGGGAACCGAAAGACGTTTAGGAACCAAATTTTCGCATCCTTATTTTTCAGCAGGTCATTCACTTTGTATTTGTTCAGCACCAAACAATGCGTCCTCTTCTCATGCTTGACCTTTTCCTTCACGTCGGATAACGTTTTTATATCAAGACCGTTACGCATGATTACGAAGCCCAGTGTGGGTTTCCCCTTTCTGCGCAGCGAAATGACGTGCTCAAGGCATAGGGGGAGCAGGGGACACAAGAAAAGAAATCCATACAACATGAACGGGGCATGCTGGGAAGGGGAACCTTTCACGTGGGTGTACGGCTAAACGAGAACGGACGCATCGATTGATGCGTTCACGTATGACCCAATGAGATATGAAAAAGGGACCAAAAAGGAAGCTCGCGTTTATGCAAAGCTAAGATGGGGACGTGGAAAAATTACATACTTATCGCTTCATGTCAACAGGGAAGAATTTTCTTTTTTTTTTTTTTTTTTTCTCCTTTTTCTTCACAGGAGAGAATACATTACCGGTGCAACGTTTAACCTGCGTCACGTTATGTTGATGAAACATTAGCTCGAGTTGGATTTCTCAGAACAGGGGCGAACGAATTTAGAACCTCATTTGTGTTCTCCTCAGAAGTTTCGAAATGGGCACTCAAAAAAAAAGAAAAAAAAATGTAGCCAATCGGTGCGACGTTGTGCGGGTGAAGAAGCTTCAATTCAACATTTTTTTTTTCTTTTTTTTTGTCCCAATTGTTACGCCCTCAGATGTATACTGCAGGCGGGAAGGAGTATAACTCCCCCCATTTGGAAAAGTACCTTCAGGCGTTCGTCCATGGGTCATCACGGGTCAGGTCAGCACGACAACACCACAGGGGCGCAGGAGCGCAGAAAAGGTGGCAACCTCCCCCACTGCATCTTTTCATTCAGGCGTAGAAGTAGCGTCCCCAAAGGTTGTTCTTCCCGCCAGGCTCACAGTATATGCTACACTGGGTAAAAAAATAAAAAAAAAAAATCACAAACAATTACCCCTTTTCGCATGCGCAGAATAGCGTTTTTTTTTTCCCCTCTGAAAATAGCGGCCATTTCTGCATGCAAAGTGCACTGGCAGTATGCTGCCCGAATGGTATAAAATGAGAAAAAAAAAAAAAAAAAAAGCAGACGCGTTTTTGGTGTTCTATGGAGTGATCGTTATTTGAAGTCTTTTAAAAATTCATCGCTTCGCCTTTTGTACAGACGGGAGGTACATCCCCAGCATAGACATCACATGTAGGGGTTTAGAACAGGCACAACTGGGTGTTGACCTGAGTTAATACTACCCGTCCAACATACAGCGAAGAATATATATGAGTACAAATGGGAGTACGCATATGTGCACATAAAAATGTGTTGCAATCAGCGCATGTTTTATGTACACACGAGCGCGTGCATACTCTGCCTGGGCAGTTCCTCCCTCTTCAAAGAATTACGCGCATTTTTCTGTGCACATGTTGTGCTTTCCTGATTTATATTTATATTTTTTTTTTTCACAATTGGCAAAGTTGGGCCTTCATATCGTTCGAGTACACCGCATTCGGTCTACTCTTTTGTTTCATTTTAAATTCTACGCGGCTATCGGGGTGTATGCGTGCACGTATATGCGTATGTGCGGGGAAGTGTACCGTGTGGCTGTGCATACGACCGTGCATACGGCTGTACATACGGATGAAAAACGAGGGGACACCCCGGCACGGCACGGATTTACATAGAGGAGCAACTGCCTCCCACGCACATTCTGCAGCACCACCTTAGCATAACGTTCTTCGTTTTAAACAAATACAACATACGTTTTGTTCACGCATTGTTTATGTAGTTATTTTAATTTTATTTTCATTTTTGTCTTTTCTTTTTTGTTTTCCCTCCCGACTCATTCTATTAACTATCTGCATAGCGGCACGAATTGTGGAATGGGCGCGTTCGTTTCGCAGTATACCTTTGTCGTTTTTTTTTTTTTTTTTGCAATTATTTTCCAGCGCTGCATACACTGACATACACACGAGGGCTTCCCACACGTGAAGAAAAAGAAAAAAAAAAGAAAATGACCGCTTAACTTAGCGGAACAACGCCTAGCCACGAATGACAAACGGGAAAAAAATCCGAACAAACCTGTTGTAGTCATAGCTGCAAATGAGTAAAATGCTGCTATTGACTTTTACACGCACGAGTGCTCAACTTTGGTGAACGTGCGTGCACGAGCGAGCGAGGCAAGGGGGCGAACAACACTGCAACATAGACGAACGCCGGGCAAAGACATGACACTGGGGTGGAGCTACCGATTTACCTGTCTATCGGTGTTGTCCGTCGTTGCGTAGGATTAATTGTCCCGTTGGCGAATCCGTTCATTCACGTATCGATTTGTTAGCGCATCCGTTGTTGCCCCCCTACATACACACATACTGTCCATTTATTCCCTCTTTTTTTACCCTCACGTGGCTTTCCTTTTTTTTTTTTGTACTCCCCACGTTTTATCCCTGTTCCTCCATGTACCCCTTCAACCCTCTGCACACTAGTGCTAGCTTTTTCGCGTAAAAAAAAAAGAGTACACTATCCTCAGGCTCCACTCCGCTTCATCATAAAGGGGCACAAATCTGGGCAGGTGTAAACGGATGTATATGCATATGTCCTGTGGCTGTGGTGTCCGTCCTACCAAAAAGGCCTGCAAAAATTCGCTGCCTCAGTTTTGTACCCCTCCATCGGAGTGGAACTGTTTCACGCTCCATTTGCAACAAGGCAGATACAAGTAAACATGCATAGTGCACGTTTGCGTGGCCGCATGCACGTACCAGCACGACCCTAAACCTGAATGCTAAACGCTGAAACTTAAACCCTGAACCGTGACACCACCCTGCCACCACTCCTGCGCAACCAACATTTATAATTTCCCCCCTCTTTGCAGCCTTTCACCATTTTGAAGCGTTTCTGTTGCGACTTCTTTTTTTTTTCTCTTTTGCATTACCCCCTTAAAACTGGCCAAGAAAATTTACAGAAAAATGTCGAACACGGGGACGACAGACCTAAGTTGGCTGCCCTCAGATGCAGATGGTTATTAATTTACTCTGGGGCATTTTTTATCTGCCTCATGAGTGTGTCGAGAGGAATGCAAATATAACGTGACTCTCCTGGGGGAGTGACCACTTGTGTGCCTTCGTTTACAACCCGCGTATAAACTATGAACCCGTTGATGAATTCTACGTGTGGTGCTTATCTGTATCCAAGCCGGGGGGAGAAAAGAATCTCATCGGATGACCCCCGATAAGGTTTACAGGCGTGACCAATGGAGGAGAGAGAACCCAATCATGTTTTGTTTTTCTTTATTTCTTCGCCCCTTTTCCTTTTTCCTTTTTTTCTATTGCTTGGCCCCTTTTCCTGCTTCTTTCCCCCCACGACAGAACAACTCGCCTTAGGATTCAAAATTGTCACCAACGCGTACAAGACTAGGGTTACGTCCCAGGAGGCAGAAATCAGATCTCTCAAGGGACAGCTGACGGAAAAGCTGGAACAAGTTATTTCTGCATGCTCCGTGCTGGACTACTTGTGATTGTGTTGCTTGTGCGCGTCTCTACCCCCATAGTAAATAAACGGAGCATCCGTTAATTTTCCACCCTTTTTTTTTATCGCTTTCACCCCCCTTTTAGCTCTCGTCAATACAAAAAAAATATAGCAACCTGGAAGTTCAGCTAATCGAATCAACCCAGAGAGGAAACCAGCTGGCGGACGAGAACAAGCAGCTCATTACGACCATTAAGAAGGTAAAGGGCGAGCGAAACCATACAGCTCTACTGCTAAAAGGGATAAACAACCGCATATGACGCTTAACATGTGTTCCCATATGTGTATCTTGCCCCTGGGGTGTGTTTGTACGAGGTGGAATCGCTATCCAGGGGCACAGCCACACAGAGGAACTTAAAAAGAGACATTCCTCTACACAAAGTAGAAGGGAAGACACACCGTCTCACAGTTAACATATCACCGGGATTGCACTAAAAATAAATACGTTGCAAATGTTTTTCATCATGGGAAGGAAAAAGAATTGCTTTTTTTTTTTCACAAACGAGTGCCCAAATATCAGCAATCATTTCTGTGGCTCGATCGAACGGTATTGACAAGTGTAATTTTTTTTTTTTTTTTTTTTTTT